ACAGGAGAAAAAAGGGGGTAAGGGTTGGAGGTGGTGAGAGTGAGTGAGGGACCTGATCAAAGGAAAAGCCAGTTGAGTGCGGAGCGCAATAACGAGGGATGTTGTTGTCAGAAACGAGGTAAATTAATTTATTCCAAGGCTGGCGTTGTTATTGTTGTTAGGTTTGTTAATCTGCGGTGTCATTGTGAAGTGATGGTTTAAGGCTGACAGCTCTGCAAAGGCTGGACCCCTAATTTTCTCGACCCTGAGTCACTGCCGACTGATGTGTCTTTTAAGAGCACCTGAGAGGAAGCTGAGTGTGTTACTGCTTTGCAAAATCTCAAGAGCACTTCTCTCTTTCAATTTCTGAATGGCATTTGCAGTTATTATGATGCTAGCAAGAGAGATTGATCTGTTCTGATGTAATCTCACATTGCCTGAGTGGGCCTGGGTGGATGAGATCTGCCTCAGATTGATGAGGTCTAATGCAGTCTTGTATGGGTGCTCCTGATAGATCCAATGATACCAGCACGCCACTGCATCTTAATTCTGCTTAATTTAACCGTAAATTACTTATCAACACTTGTGTCTTGTTGAGCTGTGAGTTTCTCTTCCTGTCACTGATGCATGTGCAGTGTTCCAGGATGTCTGAGGAGCTATATGAAGATAACATGAAGACACAGAAATGTGCATAATGTGTGATGCAAATCATCCCGAGGGCTCTAGTGCTCATGGTTAGAGCTTTGTTGGGAGTTTAATCAATCAGCCACAGCGCCTTAATTAATCGGCATGATGAACAGGAGAAATAATTGGTTTTCTGCCAGATGTGAATCTGTTGCAAACTAATGCCAGCCAATCAGGATCCAATTTATAATCACAAAACTGATCTGAACGACAAAACACTTAAAGGATCAGAGAAAAATAAACATACAAGACAATGGGAGTAATATGGCTTTGGATTTAAAATTCTGATAGGACACAGTTGCTAGGAGCTCTTTGTACTGAGTGTATTTTAGATGCCTAATTGGATCTATATAGTGTCAGAATCATCATCAGTCTCATTGATTGACATCTAGGGTGTGAGTTGGAACATGTCACTGCCTTTTTTTCTTTAAAAAAACAAACATATTGCTAATTAATTGGCATGATCAGCAAGAGAAGAATTAATTGGACTCCTCCCCAGATGTTTATGAATGAATCTGCAGAAAACTAATGAGGGGTGTCTGGTTTCCATTGAAGCAGCAGATGTCATTAACTGCAGCCCACACTGACAATACAGATCTGCCCAACTCCAATCAGACCAGGTAACCAGTGGCTGAAACAAATGGAAAAGCACTGGACCCAGTCAATAGCCAGGGTCGAGATTGGAAACCACTGGTTTAGGCCGGCGCCAGCGGAGCCAAATGGAAAAATAGCTTAGGCCTCTTATTAATGTCACAGTGGCTAGGCGGTAATTCCCTCAGGCTCTGTGTACCTCGGCTTGTTAATGAGTCACTGCTTATCAGTCAGCCTTGTTAACAGGCAGAGGCCTCGCATCCAAACCGCCTACTGCTATTGTGTGCTAGCCGTACTGTGTATTAGCCAAATGTTCCCCCATCTTGGCACACAGGAAGTCAACAGTAAACAACAGCAGCACACACAGGAAGTAGGCATCGAGCCAGCGAGAAAGAGCTGGTCCAGGGGGGAAGGAGCCCATTTTGTGGCAGGATAAAGTGAACCGCTGGCAGAGACACACACATGCGGAGCCCTCCCGCCTGTAAATCTTACCACACTAACGATTGGTCCACACTGCTCCCATCCTTTAATCCTTATTCATTATTGGTCTCAGCTGGAAGCATTAGGGCTTCATTCACTTATTCTGACCAGCAGAACTCGTCGAGGTAAATAAACTATTAGGCATGTTTCTTGTCACGAATGCAAACATTCTCCTGGGGTCTAAGATCAGGCTGCCGTGGAGTTGAGGGCCAGGTGGCTGATGGAAGGACGCAGTGCGCTGCTCTACATGCTGTTTGTTGAGTGCTCCAGCGGACGGACCCTCCACACTCCACAGCAGCCCCGAGGTAACTGGGTCAGCAGTACAGAACCAGGACACAGCCGGCCAATTGCATGCCTAATCTGTGCCCTTCTGAGAGGCACTTTCCATCCGAAGCGCATGGCTGCACATCCAGCTGTGGAAATGGATATGTCAAATGGCGCGCAATTAGTGTCTCCCCGATTCGTTCACTTGCTCTAAGGAAGCCTGGCCACAGATAAATCCAGAAAGAAACAGAGTCAGTGCAGTCCTTTCCCTGACTTTGACATGCATCAAATGAAGATGGGGCAGTGAAAGTGGGAGAGCTGGGGCGTCCAGGGCTGGCCAGGAATTTAAACTGTTGTGACATGCAGCCTGTTGGTTGCTGTATGATCATCAACCCCAAAACTCTTGGGGGAAGCTCTTTTTTCTCTCTTTCCTTGTTTAAATGATGAAAAGGAACAAAGAGTGTGCATGTTTTTAATTCACCGCAGACTGTGAGTGTAGCAGTGATGGGCAGTCAGAAGCACTCTGATGGCTCATCTGCTCCTGCATTGATTTGCTGAGCTAATCGTTTTTCCTCTCTGATACATAACATTGAATTATTTATGCTAAGTAGACCCTTCTGTTCCAGGGCCTCTTAGCATGGAGATCTCCATTATGACGGCATTATCTGACTGCCTGCCCCGCCCTACTCCATCTTCTACTTAACAGCTCTGCTGCTGTGTCACAACAACAACAATCGGACAGATCGGACAGATCGGAGCAGATGTGAGCGATGGACCAGTGCTCTGCCGCTTACACATATTTACTGCTGACACTGAACACCACTGTTTGCCACATTGCTCAAATGTCTGGAAACTATAGAAGAATGAACACAAGAATCATATATATATATATATATATACATATATGTATTGTTGAGTTTTTGGCACCATTCCTCTGTGTTGTATGTGAGGTTCCATAAGAGCTGAGCTCTGTGTTTGCCAGTGAGAAAGTCTATAAATTGTCAGCAATTTCTGCACTAATGCCACTAAGACAAATTCCTGTACTACGTTGATGGAAAAAAATATGCATTCTTATTCTGAGTAATGCCTTCCTAAGTAGCATAACAATTATAATTCCAAACTTGTTCAAATGTGATACTAACTGATTTCACAGCAGAAATGTTATTATTTTTGTTTCAGCGTAGTTGATATTAGTATTTGATTATACTTTGAAAGCAAAAATAAATGATGAAAAGACCTTGAGTACAACTTAACAGTTTACAAAAAGCACTATGAAACTGTTAAGCCAGCACTCCATCCCTGTTTCCTTTCTCCTCTCAATTGCACTCTTTGACGTGTTTTCTCATCTCCTAAACACTGTCAGACGTCCCAGGCTTAATTACTCTCCTTGACTGACATGATAATGTAAAACAGCGCTTAGGTGAAACCAAAGCAGGAATTGGTCATGCGTGGTCAGGCCTCCTGCTAGGCACACCTTAATCAAATGTGACGTGCGTCTGAATGCAAGCCAAAATCATTTTCGGACCCAAATAACGAACCGCTGCCTGGGCTTCAATGACGAGCTACACGGTCAGGGTCAGCACTCTGACGAGAGATTGATATTTCATCATCAGCGCCTCAATCTGGAGATTGTTTGTGCGTTTCTCATCTTCAACAGCTTTTGGGGGCCTTGACAGGCCTACATTTGCATTTGTTTAACGGTGACCTCATCATGGGTCCTTGGCACAGCCGGATTATTTCTCACGTTCTACTGCACTGACCACTGTGAGCTCACACTGACAATCCTCCACTTCCCTACATTTCATACACAAATGGGCAGAAACAAAAGAATGCATAATTCAAGAGAAAATAAAAACAGCTGACGTAGATAAACGAAGTGGAAGTACAGTAAAAGAGGTGCGTGCACTGGCATATCTGTGTGCATGCATGTGCATTCAACATGATGTATTCAGATTTGTGAATTTGTGTGGGTGTGCACAAGTGAGCACAAGGGGCCTCAGAGAATATATATTGCAAATGCAAATCAGGGAACGTATATTAGAAGCCTTCTTGCCTGCTATATCGTCTTACGCTTCTTTGCCAAACACTCAATTCAATTAAATCCTCACTGTAATGAGAAAATGCCAACAGGATTCTACCTGTGTCAATCAATTTTCTATGGATTGAGGGACAATCATGATGTGCCGTTTCCCTATCGGCACTGTTTGCCCTCTAAAGGTTGTATTACCAGAAGCCAGTCACTTGAGTGTTATGTAATTGGAAAAGCACGCTGGACAGTATATTCCTGTTCACTCGGTGCTCACAGCAGGGATGATATCATTACAAAGTGCTACCCTCATCAAATCCTCTCTTACCATCCGCTTTCAGCCGCACCCAGCTCATCACAAGTTGAGCTGTGGCCATGATGAGTGTCATGTGTCTCTACTCTATGTGTGTGGTAGGTGTGCACACTCCTGTGTTGCTACTTGAGAAAGTACAAGATGATTACTGCTTATCTCCAGGTTGCATGAACCTCTGACACAGATATAGTCAGTGCACATGTAAGACAGACAGCAAGATGCTGAGCAGGTGAACATAAAAGAAAGAATGATGCTTGAGTGCTTGTCTGCTTTCATGTGAGTGTATGCAAGAGACTGAAGATGTCAGGGAGAGAGAAAGGGGAAAAAAGAGGAAGCCACAGGGAAAGTGAGCTACCCTCAGCGAGGACCTGTAGTATGCATGTGAGTGGAGTCCTGCGCCCACGTGCAAGTCACGCACATTCCTCAAAAACAACAGCAGAAATTCCACTGGGGTCCGGGGAGGTGGGAGCGTCCCATGTGCTTATTTACGGCTCTCTGATTCCCTTGTCATAATACAGGAAACCAGGAAAAAGCCTCAAGTCAACAGATATGAGGCACCTCCAGAGACAGAAAGAGAGGGTCGGGGAGGTCAGGGGCCCAGGGACACACTGCGAGATAGAAAGAATAGGAAGCGGATAGATAAAGAGGGAGAGGGGTGCTTACCATAGACAATGTTGCTGTGAACCGCAGCAGCGAATAGAGCTGTCAATAAGCTGACACTCCATAATGCAGAGGGGGCTGATGGGAAGGCCATGGTCGGGTGCACAGATCCGCCTGTCTCACTGAATCCTCAGGAGGGCAGAGGAGCTCTGGAGTGTCACCTGCAGGGAGAGGAGTGGAGAGATAAAGAAAACAAGCAGGGCAAGCCGACTGGCCACTAATTGCGTCCCCTGCCATTGGTTGGCTGCTGCGGAATAACGCCTGGCCCACCCGTTACTCACGCGTTGCTCCATGGGTATTCATCGATCTGCTTGTGTCATACCATACTGAGAGGCGATTGAGACAGGCGTGGTAAAGGGGAGGGGACGGTGATGGAGCCGAACGGCAGAAGAGAGGGTGATTGTGTATGGGTGGCGATGAGGGGGGGAGAGGGGGAGAAGAGGAAGGGGGTTCATAATACTGTGAATACATTCATCCACTTTAACAAGCTGTGCGCATGTGGAGTGACGGAAAACGAGTGCTTTGGACAGCTCTAACTAACTCGCGCTAATTAGAAATAACTCAAAGGAACCTTCCCCCAGTTGGTCGTGAGAAAACAGGGGGAAAGAAAGAAAAAAAAACACCACGGCAGTAGAGAGATGCACCTGTCGCCCGCTGAGAATACTCGGTGCGCTTTGCACAAGACTGGAGACGTACAGACGTGCATAATAGCCGCTCAGGCACTCGTTCTCTGTGCCTCCCTCTCTTTGTCACACACACACACACACACGCACACGCACACACACACTCATTCCGACCCTCTCTTTCTCTTTCTCTCACGCACATTCCTTAAAATAGCAGTAGCCTGCGCCGAGGTGAGCCCTCGCTCCATCTGCGAAAACGCTCCCTCTTTGACAACGCTGAGAGGGGAACCGTGGCCGGAGTGTCGCCTGCGGGACGGGCGGACGGTTAGGGCGGGGATAGAGGAGTGGGGGTGGGGGGCATGAGAGGTGGGATGAGGGGATTGGGAGGGGTGGGAGGGCTGTGTTTATTGTTGCTCCAGCCCTTCCTGTTGAGTGATGGCGAGAAATGAAAACAAAACTGGAACAAGTGCATCCATGGGAAATAACCCGGACACTCTGGGCGTAATGTAACAGAAGTTCTCTTGGTCTGCTCTTACGTGAGGAGTAATAATAGTGATGATGACAATAATGACAATAATAAGAGCTCGTGGTGGCCTGCATCGCTGCGACGGACCGCGGGGGAGCCTGAGCGAGTGTTTCTCGGGTCGGAGCCTGGCTCCTAAACCGCTTCTCCCGCACTTGCAGAAATATCTGCTGCTGATGGGATGCGATTTAGAGACTCGTGTAAAGGCTGGGGAGACGTGGCCGCTGCACACAGCGCCTAGTTGTTGCTTTTTTTTTTTTTTTTTTTTGCAGAGCGATAGAGCCAACAGAAGGAAGGGGAGAGGAGTCGGGAAGAGCGCAGGCAGCCCGACAACAAAATGCATATTTAGAGTAAATTATAAAACACGGAGGGATTATACAGCTCTCTCCCTGGGCAGGCATAACGGATTACACACACACACACACACACACACACACACACACAAACACACACACAAAGCCACCTACCCAGAGTGCGCACAGACACATTCCTGGAGACGGAAAAGCGTCAGCACTGACAGGTGTCTCCTGTCCGCCCTACAGGCAACATCCTAACCCTGGACAATGATACAAACTGCGAAGCAATGCACGGAAATAACACACACACACACACACACACACACCGTTATATTCCGCCTCCGGACTCGGGTTTTGTTGGCGCTGGTCTCCAATAAGGTCCCCAGTAAGGTCCCTCCTTTGATGCGCAGCAGTCGCTTGTCCGGAGCCTCCTCTCAATCTGCTTTTGTCGACTTTTTTTTATCTCCTTGTTCCTTCTCCTGACTCTTTTGTTTTTCTTGCTTTTTCCTCCGCGCTCTCTCTCTCTCTCTTTCTCTCTCTCGCACTCTCTGTGTTTGTATCTCTACCGCTCTCTCGCTCTCTCTCTCTCCACGGCTGCCGTTCACTGCAGCAAAAACAGTCTGTCTGAAAGACGAGAGGGAGGGGAGGGGACAAGGGAGGGAGGGTTGGAGGGAAGGAGGGAGGGAGGGAGGGGATTTTAATACGATTTGGCCCGTACCATCGGGATAACAGGGCCAGAGCAGGGGCCTACTGGCTGAGAGCAACATGAAGGAGATGGAGCAGATAGAGAAGTGTGATCGCACCATACCGGAAAAATCGCCATAATGTTCCTATAATGCTCCACAGTGAGTCCACGCTGACCTTATCGGGCTTTGTGGTATTTTATTATCTCCTGCGGAAGCACAGTGCTGTAGGATTCCCCATGATATCTCCGCTCCCTTTATCATAAGGTTTGATATTGAGTAGGTCTAGTATTCCTCTTCAATTCTATCAAAGTTTCAGGCCTACACATCTCCTGAGCTGAAGCAGCGGAGGTCATCTGAACTTGATAGTCGCGCTTCTCAGTGGCCTGTGATGTTTCTTATCGTTGATATTATAGAGCTATTACCCCTATCTCGTAGATAGGCCCGCTGCTATTTCCCGTAGGCCTGATCATTTGCAGTGTGGTAATGATGTATCGCGTCTTTGTGGAGTTGAGAGACTTTTCTTGGTGCCATTATCTGTCACATGCCTACAGTACAGCAGCCACCCTGTGCCTTTAACACTGCCTTTGTTTCTTATCACCTCAACATTTGGATAGGCTACTGCTCCTGTAACGTTTAAGCATCATAATGTTTATTACCCCCGGGAATGGGCAGTTTTGCATAAGCTTGTAAACTTTAGGGTAGTGTATGTAGTTAGGACGTTGTACGCGTCAGGCGCGTTTTGGGAACGCGGGAGGGGAGAGAGGGAGGGAGGGCGTGCGTGTGGGGTGTGGGGGGGGGGGCTTGTTCAACTTGCCAGAGAGGATTAAGGATTAGTTTTACTGGCGGATTAGGTCTGTGTGTGGGGAGGCATGATGGGGTTAAACATGGATGGCGGCAGCCGCACGACAGCCCAATCAGTGGTGGTGGCGACACACTGACACCGGGGAGGTGGGTTTGAAGGAAATACAAAATAATAAAAGCCATGGGGGAGCCGGGGAGGGGTTTGAGAGTCGGGGAGGTTGGGAGATCTTCAAGCAGGCAGCTGCTTTCCACACTGAAAACATAAATAGTGCTGCTCCGGGCTTCTGTGATTGGGGTATAGGTTTTAAAAAAAAACAGAAGAAGTCCACCTTCAGGGGTCCTTGAAAGGATTCCAACAAGGTCCCTACTCAGATTTCCCTAAATGAAAAATACATAATGCCTACTACAATCCCTACTCTCCACTTGCACCGCCAGGTTGTAGTTTAATTCAATACAAAAGCTGCATACAAAAATCTTGAGACGACACCATTTCCTGGCTCCATGAGTCATTTATGTCCAAAGTAAAGAGTCTTTATCTCTCCCTGTCTCTAAACCAAACGGGGGGCTGGAAACGCAGCATCTGGCATCATTAAACACTTGTTATGAGGACGGAAAAGGCTTTAAATGTTTTGTTGTTGGCGATGCATTAGGAAAGCTTTTGCTCTGGCTCAAATGAGTGGACAGCCCCAGGTGCTGAGCCCGTGCGCGACAAGCGTGCGCGCCTGTCCACTGACTTTCACACGACGGGGCTGCACGGGCGCTGGGTGCTCCTGCGGTGCCTACGTGGTGGCCGTATACGAGACCGGAGCCCGAGCATGAAGCCTGGACAGTAATAGGCTGGTAACGGAGCCCGTGCTGTGCGGCTTCACCGGAGCTGTGGTTGCAGGCTTTATGCCCGTCTCACATCTGCATATTAAAGCGATGACCTTTGCGTGCTGAAAAGGCTCCATGTGAAATGTCTATGACAATTCAGACCTGATGCACTTTGTATTGGGCACCTGCATTGCAAACACACATCCATCCATCCATCCATCCATCCATCTATCCAATTATCCATCCATCCATCCATCCATCCATCTATATCTGTAGACAAAGCCTTGTCAGATGCATCCCAGCTACAAAAGCAATAAGACATCTCTGCTTTTGTTCCCCTATCACATATCCCCTCTCATTCAAAAAGCCACAACGCTTTATACACATCTCTGCCGGGACTCGAACCCGGAGCCTCTGGATTAGAAGTCCAGCGCGCTATTCCATTGCGCCACAGAGACTGTGACACATTTTTTTCGATCAAAAGCGGGTTTATACTCCCCCTCCCAGCCCTGTGCAGCATCCTCACCATCCCTCAGCATCAGGACCGGAGCCCCGTGGATAATAATTTACCGCCCGGTAGGGGGTGCTGCCGCCGCGTAATCATTAGTCTCTTTATGGCTCTAAGAGACGGGGATAGCACCTGCTCTCCACCCCCCGTTGCTTTCACGTAGGTTATCTCGTCAAAACACCATAATACTGATATTATCGGAGCACACCAAAAAGATGGAACATCTTCCATTGTAAACGCATCAGTAACTATGAGGCAAAGTGCTCACTCCTCATAGGGAATGGCTCCAGTGAGCAGCCCATGTTTTTATTAGCTGTTTGTTTTTACTCTGAAATTGGGAAATATTTCCACGGGGTTTGGCGTGAGCAGACAATAAGCAAATCAAGTCTTAAACATGCAGAGTTTGAGCAATTTTGCCGTCAGTCACAATAGAAAATTGCGGTCCGATGTTTCTCTGTCTCAGATGGAAACGTTTTTGCGACATGGATCTATACAGCAAATCATCAAGATGTCAGATTCACTGCAATCAAAAAACCAAAAAGTCACATGGAGAGCAATTTTTGCAAGTGTTGTTTTTACTGTGACAATTATTTGGAGCTGGCTCTTACATATAGAGACGTTTCTCTTGTGACCGGCCGATGTGGCTCTGAGGACAATAAAACATTATCAAAAGCATTAAATTAGCTCTTAACTTTTATAAACACTGACAGTTACTGTAGACACCGTTTCCTTTCATCAACAGCTCTGATAAAAATGCAGGCTGACAAGGATTTTCCCTTCGAGCCAGCAGTAACACATTCATAAACCAATTTTGTTGGAGGTAACAAAACTAAGCGGTCATGTTGTTTGTCTCTGTGCAGGTTCAGCTGATCTCAACAGACACATTTTCAAACCAGCTGCTACGAAAATCATAAGTGTGCAGCCTCCTCCCAAGAACGTTTACTGTTGTTTCCCCACCCCACCCTGTGCGCTTGTTACTGTACTATAAATGCAGTTGGATCTGACATTAGATCACAGTTTGCTTTTATTCACACTGTAGGACAAAAGCTGCTCAGGTGCAATGTGTAGCTCCTGTGTGGCTCAGTGGGAGGCAAGGCCTGAGGCAGGCTGCCGGTAAGGAGCCTGTTCACATACACAGTTTCCACCACTGGGCTGCCTCTCCGCATTTCAGCCCTTCTCTTTCCCAGTGTTAAAAAATGCATCTGAGCAGCTGCGCCCTTGCAAAGGTAAAATATGAATGACAGCCTACAGTAAACAGCCGCACTACAGACACACACACACACAAACACACATTCTAGTGCACAACCGGCAGATGCACTAGTTGGACTGGCAGTGACGGAGCACTTAGGGCAAAGAAAAGTAATTAATAAATTTGACGTCATAGCATGATTACACAAATTACATAAGGATAGAACATGTAGGACGCGTCTAATTTTGGCCCGCTGGTTGTTGTTCACACCAAGAACAAGTGTGAAATAAACTGGGTCACATTTGCATGCACTTTGCACTCTTGCTGCATTTGATGACCCTTAAAGCTTTTCAGAGTATAATTAATTCCAAGGGACAAAACATCACAACACATTCTCTGCATACAGCATGATATAATCCTTTATTTAATACTCTGATGAAATTGGGCCTGCAGTGGGCCAGAACAGAACATATACACAAAACTCCCACAGTGAATCCAGTCCACATTCCCTTTCAGCTCCCTCCTCTCCTTTCGTTTCTGCTCATCTCTTCTAGTCCTGTGCTCACAGTAAAGCCACGGCTATGGAGGCGATGATGGACAGACCGATAACGGTGTAGCCGGTGCGGTAGACCTCTGGGATTTTGAAGCCCTTGCCCATGTCCCACCACTGATTTAAATAATAAGAAGCAAATAAGAGAAAACAGAAAGAAGAAAATTAAGCGTAATCTTGGCAAATGTAATACATGTTCAATGACATCAATCAAATGAGCTGACGTGAGAAAACTGAAAAGTGACTCAGAGATCTGTGCAAGGGAGTCCAGACACTACACCAAACATGGTAATGGAAACAAACTACCAAAGAATTTAAAATATACTTTAGTATGGAGTTGCACACATTTGCTAGGTCTATAAATCAACAATAAAGTTATTAAGTCTTACCAAGTGTCGGATGCCGTTCAAGGTGTGGTAAGATACGGGGAAGGCGATGCCGAACTTGGCCAACCCAATGAGAAACGGGCCGACGGACAACGAGTGGATCAAGTCCAGGTAGTGGGGGTAACTTTCCGGTAATACCAGCGCTGCCAGGGCAAAGGCCGAGATAGCTGGACACAGACATAATAAGGTGTGTATATGAATGGGTGTTAGAGGAAAAATGATGTGCATGCATGCCTTTTAGAGAGGTAAGCAATAAGTGAGAGACTTAACACCAACATGCTACTACTATTTGTCTTTGCTGGATTAGTCTCCCCAGTGTCCCCAGTGGCCAGTAATTTTCAAACATCTGAATATCTCAGTTATGTATAGACCTTTTTCCCTGCTGACTCCATAAAATGAAGACCAAACAATGGCTCTGTATCAAACAGGCTCCTCGTTGGCTGCATATTACAATACACTGCACTCAGTGGGTCTCTGTGCTTCTCTTTCTGGGCTGTCTGGATGATAAAAAGGCCTAATGGTACAAGTTATTTACTTGTGGAAAAACATAGCGGGTGTGAATCAATGTGAACACAAAATGCAGAGTTGCATACACACAAAGACAAATACACATCCATTTCATATGTGAATTGAATCAAACACTGAGTTAACTCTGAGTTTTAATTCCATATGCAAAAAAGCATTGCAAGTAGTGGTGGGATATCTAAACATTACAATAAATCAATATGGCTTGTAAAATTACCCTCAGCAGGTGATAGTTTTAGTTTACCAAAAGCCAGAAACTGTAATTAGGCCATGCCGATGTTTTTAGAAAGACGGCACATAGTGAGAGAGCGAGTGTTTTTAAACTGGCAGTTAAGGCTGCTGACCTTTATTGAACCCATTAACATACAAAGAAAATTGGACCCAGCTTTTACAGAATGGTACATCGGGGTTAACAGTAGTGTTGTACAATGTCACAGTGACATGGGCTCAACCTGTACACCTCGCAAATGACTAAAAGCTGTTAGCAGTCCAGTGCTAGACTTGATTTCCACAAGCAAAAGGGGGTGAATTGTATTGAACAACTTCTGTTTCGTAATGCCAGTAAATGCTCTTAGCAGAAATCAATAGTGGGGGACTAAAATGCCCTGAGGAGATTTTCAGGGTCAATCAAAAGCTCACAATGGCAGTAGAATAAACGTTTCATCCGGTAATAAATGATGAGAAAATAAACGTAAGGAAAAGTAGATGTGTTACCTCCACTGAGCCCCACTCCAGTTCCTCTGTGTGTGATAGACATCACCATGGGGACGGACCAACTGAAACGCAGAAAAAAATCCAACCCATTTATTATAATGGCAGATATACTGTATGTGGTTAAAACACACTCCAAACCACAAGTCGAAGCATTGAACCTTCACTGACTTTTATTTGAATTTTTAAAACCCATTTTGTTTCGGGTTAGGTTCAGAACATAGTACAGAAAGAAAAAAAAAGACTCTTTTCAAAGTGGTTGAGCCTCACAGAGGGAAGCCGAAGGTATTTTTACTTTAAAATGAAAATAAATGACAGTGAACATTTTCACTTATAGATACCAATGTCTGCATGTACAGATATAAATGTAAAAGTGTTTTTTTTAAGGAGTAACTTTGAACAGGAGAAAGAGAAGGATTTAAATCACCAATGCTTTGGAGTGCAAGGTCCCTGATATAGATCAGATACAAGAATGATCCCAAATGAACGAGAAAATGCAAAGTGAAAAGCCAGGAAGGAAACCTAGTGTGAAATTACAAGGATCATACTGAATAAAAAGGTTTTCAGTTTCTCGTAACTGCCTGTCTATCAAGGTGCTCATTGCAGTAAATGTATCCAAAGAAACGGAGATCTCCATTAATGGTGGCTTGTCCTGCTGTTTCATCAGCATAAAAAGAATGAAAAGACTGCCTGATCTGAAAATTGATAGTAATAATATTTTCAACTTCGATAATGTTCTGCAGTGGAGTTTTACTGTCTTTGAAAATGTTCAGGTGAAATTATAAAACATAAATGGAGTGTACAATTTCACTTGAACAACTGAGTCATCTCCAACCTCTCCTCCGAACAAGACGCAGGCTACACACAGTACTGCACGAGATATACAGTACATACTTGTAAATGGTGATATGAGGAGACATGGGTCTGTTTAGTCTGGCATTTTTCGACCAAAACTTGTTCATTTCGTCCTTTGCTGTGGTTCCCATTGGAGCCGCACTGTAATGGAGATTTAAAAAAAAAAGTATTTAGGGTACAGAAGTTTACAGTACAAACATTTACAGTGCATGGGTTATAGCATGTATCTGCATAATTACTGAGATGTAGCAGTATGTGTATGTGAACCCAAATAACCTCGCCATCTTTCTCTGTCACACAAGGACACACACACACAAACAAAACTCACTGTCTGTAGAGGAGACTGTAGTGTGGTCGGGAGATACACACACCCTGACGGGCGAACGTCCTACACATAAGGAAGAAGTGTGGGAATTAGTTTTTGTGTCTGCAGTGAAATAAAGGAGAAGAAAAACAAACATACAGTATAGTACACATCAAACTTTCCCCTTTTTTTTTTTTAATGCATTGTTACTTTATCCAGTAGACGGATAGCTCTGTAGTGACACACAGAAAGGACTCAACCTTGGTATGTGGTACACGCTCTACCCGGTGAGCAACACTGGAGCGCCCCACAACTTTCCTTAGGGAGAATTTTTCAGAATTAATCAGTTTATATATTCTGATAATAATATAAACGATTACGTGTCTACACATCAACGCCACAAAGCAGTTACTAAGTCATATTTCTAACCCCATGAAGTCTAAAACGCTCATTCAACTTAATATTTATTAAGTTGCCCTGAGCAGATACTCACACATACAACATGTAGTCGTTTCTATACCACAACAGCGCTAACGCCAGGTCTGAACAATACAGGCAAACCTAAATCAACCTGCAGCTGCCAGTGCCTGTTCAACTTCATCTCCAAACTAACACTTAAAGGGACTTTAAAGGGATTAAATGTCAAGTTAGTGGACAATGTAAACAGTTAGCTCCGAGCTAAACCAGCCCGAACAACAACAACAACAACGGAGACCTGCGTTGGAGTCACACAATAAGGAAGCTCAAGCTGACTGAAAGGTGAACTAAAAAGAAACCCAACGAGTGCGTCATTAATTCCCCTCAGGGCCAAAGTTCACACTCCCGATAACCAGCTAGCGTTAGCACGGCCGGCTAGGTAACGTCCGCTAGCTACCTAGAGCACGTTAAAATGACGTCAACAAACAACAATAAAAGCCCCCTCCCCTCCTCCTCCCTCCTCCTCCTCGGCTGTAACCTTATTCAACCGCAGGATGCGTCTATTTCACACGACAACCCCGAAAAACGCCATAAAAAGGCAAAAACATGACGTAGCACTGATGCACTGACCTTAGAAGCAGCGCCATGTTTTGACAGGCAGTGAACGGAAGTGGCGTTGCCGGATGTTGTCGGGAGAAGGTCAGGCTCGCTGCTGTGAGGCTGCGAGCATGCTCCTGTTACACAAAGTGTTTTCATACTGGTGAGCCAGAGGAGAAATGGCTCTGTTGTCCGTCCTCCTGCTGCAATAGATGGCAACACATACATGGATAAAATAAATCTTGCAAATAAGTAAATAATGCAGATGTTTGCATAAAATTAACGTCTAAGTAGAAATGTTAAACTAGTAGTGTTTTTATTTGTTGCGTTCATTAGGTGTAGAGCTGAAATGGTTGGGTTGATTTGCAACTGTTTTTGATGATTAATCATTAAAGTACAGCAGCGGTGCCAAACATTCTCTGGTTGTTGTGAGGATTTTCTTCTTTACTTTGCGATTGACCAAATGATTAATGGTAGTCGAAGCCCTGATTTACACAAAAAATAGATATCAAGGAATTGCAAAATGACGTAGGACATAATGTTGTGTCCGACAAAATTAGGAACAAACAGCAGACAAGGATATGACAAAATGAGAAGACAAGAGAAAGGTCTTAATGAGGGAGAAAAAAAAACCCAAATCAAAGATGAAGCCACAATTTTAGTATCCCGTACCCCCCACGCAACAATTAAATGTTCAATATGACATTTAAGTACATAGAAAACATAGAAAACCATGCAGCAGCTCACATATGAACTGTCAGGGCAGATACATTCATACAACAGTTATTTAAAAGTATTGAAAATAGCATAATCAGACATCTACATACACACTCATACAGACAGCAAACAGGTAGTCGGGTTAATGATGCCCAGAAGCAACCCTAGACTGGGTTCCCAATGGCCATGTTGCATAAAGTATTGGAAGAGACCATGTAGGACTCAAAGTTGACAAGCTTTATGTTGGTTATAGGAGAGTGCAAACCCCTTCTAACTAATTTTTAAACACCTTGGACTCTCTATTTAAAGATTTCTGAACAAATAGTTTACACAAAGATCCATTTCCAGAGCTGTGCAACTTGGGAGGAAATGCTTTGCTGCCCGTCGATTTTTTTCTTGAATATATTTTGACAGTAAGGTAACAAGTGCCCAGTGAATAGAAGACATGAGGACATACATAATGGATGGTGAGATCATGAAAATATGAGCATAGACAGAGCCTGACTGACACTGATTTTTGAGGCTGATATTGATATTTCAGAGTTTAAAAATCTGAAAACAATATATACTGAATTATTTATTACGTTAATGCAAACGCAAAACATGTTTTTGAGGCTGTCGAAGAATTATCGGCAAACTAACCACAACATAGTTCATAAATTACCTCTGTCATATCTTAGGTAATCATGTACTGCAAAATCTTTCTTATTCTACGTATTCGCTGGCATATACACTGCTATTGATAAGTTATATATTATAGGCAATTAGCTAATATACCCTTTGCCCTTTGTGTTTTAGTATGGCCTGTACAGCATTAACTGATACACGCAAGCCAGATTCGAGCCAGAATCTGGAGCAAGTTAGGTTATAATGTGTTTGAAAATGTTAAAATTAGTGAGAGTTATTAGAAGTAAATAAGATGTGGTTTGGAAAACTTTACAATTATTGGTACATGTGGTGCTCTACATATTCAAATTGACCTGTTTAAGGTTTAACCATCAATTTAACTCAAGAGAAGTAATGTCTAATAATAGCAATAAGAAATAATAGGTAAAAAAAAAACACAAAATCAATGAATAAGAATTAAAAAGGATGACCAGGAATATTTTTGGAATACATTTTTATTTGGTACATTTCACATGATGAACGACATTTGGTATTCCTCTATAGCCAAATTGGCCACAATACATCACTTTGGTAACAGTTTATGTAAGGCACATAGGTGTACATTACCATTGTTCTGCTGGAAATGTTTTCTGAGAAAACAAAAAGGAAAAACTCAAAGCACAATCAAAAGCTTATTTTCAGCAGTCACTTTTTATGATAATCAGATTTGTGAACTGATCCATGCAATATTACAACAGATAGACAGACAGACAGACAGACAGACAGACAGACACACACACACACGCACACACACACACACACAGTTCTACCCTCACAGGCGCACACAAACACACACACGAAATTCAAACTGACAATTTCTGAATGTTAATAATATGTCTCCTGCTCCACCCAACCTGGAAGAGAGGACGAGAGAGACAGAAAGAGAAAGAGGGGAAAGTGTCAGAGACCAAAATGACAGGCGGGCAGTTTTCATAATATCCTTTTGTATCACTCTATTTGTATTCATCCCATTGCCTTTGTCTCTGTACATTTCCAAATGAATCCCCTTATAACTCTAAGACTCTGATCAGCAGCCCGTGACACACAGATTAACAGAAATGATTAACTGTCACGATAAATTGTATTTGTCTCCCCATGTCTTGCCCCTCTCAGCTGAAACGCCATGGCAGCGAACACATTTTTGAGCTATTGTAGTGTGTCCATATCACGTGTGTGATCTTTGGGGCATATCTCAAGAGTCTTCATCAGCTTGTTTTAATTTCCTTTCTCATCATTCGCTACTGTTTCTGTTAGTGTTGGACAGGTATAATCTGTTTCCTGGAGCAAGTTTAACATATGTTCACTGAGTTGGCAGAGTCTATAAAGATTGCTGCCCACGTGTTGGACATTTCACATGCTGATGGAGATTTTTACCTTCAGGCCAAAAGAAGAATCATTGAATGTTTTTGCAATAATGTATGATAAAATGTCCTCAGTTTCTCCATAAACAAAATTAGAAGTGTTTCCACCCTTGTCCATTTATAGCAAAATATATTAAAAAGTTATAAAGGACTTTGGATGAAATCTAGTGCAGATGCAGCCCTTGGCTCAAGAATCAGATCCGATTAGATTTCTGTGGTGATGTAGATGTCTGATTGTCACCATTTTATGCTCCATTTATCAAATGGAATTCCCAAGCAAAGTGCCAGACAGCAGTGCATTTACGTGCTTCTTTGTCAGATATCAAACCTGGAAGACAAACAGTAATCAGCCAAGTGTTGCAAAGGCTGCAGCTTTGAAAGCTGGAAAATTGTTCAGCATTGGGTGGCTTGCTGGCTGTCTGTTTTCAGCTGCGTTGCTACGGGTTAGGCCTCTTAAGTCTCTTTTGTGGTTAAAGCTAGCTTAATAATAACTTTTAAATGAAAATGATTACAGTTCCTGCGTTATAATTTATTTATAATACATGTAAAAATCACAATAACCACATTGAATTCTGCCAGAAAAACTATGCAAATTGCAAAATTTGCATCATGTACTTTATTCCGAAAACAAAAAACAAAAATGACATTTTTCAATATGACAGCTGGCACCAGTGTTGAAAACCCCTGTTTTCAAACCCCACGTTTTCAAAGTTACACAAAACTAAAGCTTACATCCTTTGTCGTCAGTAATCATCTATAATTGCTACCAACATTGTTTTGTAAAATTGGTACCTGTATTTTCCTTTTTGATATCAGTTCAAAACTGTTAAAAGTTGTTTTTACGATATATATTTTTTTGTGCTCATTTGCACTGACAATGAACTGGAGCTTCTCCTTCATGTCACCATCTGTCAGACACTTGCTGGGATGCTTCAGGTCAGATCAGCACAGCCGAGCTGTCGTGACTTTGTCAATCAGTGTGTCCTTAAAAGAATGGACAGCCTACTCTTTTAGGATGCGTATTTTTTTACAAGGACAGTAGGAAGGCTGAGAGAGGTAGAGGACAGGGGAAAAGGTCTTGATGGAAAATGGCACGTGTGGTTCCTAAGATAGGGGTGTCAATCGCTATACCATCACTTGGAATTCTTTTTTTCTTTCAGCTTATTAACAAGACAAAGAAGGTTGAAACCTTTTAATCTCTGCTTCTCTTATTAACTGCTTACCTCCAGGGCTCCTCCTCAGAATGAATTTACGGGCCTCATCATAAATGAAGATGAGAAGACTGTATGGGAAGGCACAGAACCACCACAGGGTCCTGGGAGGAAGAGAAAAAGAGCATAACGCGGGTTGAGGAAGGATAGAGCAGCAGTGAGTCACAGGCAAAGTGCAAATTGTTAAATTCATTGCAGACATTTTTGAATATTAAGGATAACAACGTGGTGTTTAGGAAGATCACAGACTTCATTTAAAGTTGAGAGTGACAGGCTAATGGTAGCCTATTAGGTCTTTAAGAGGTTATTTTTCGGTTCAGTGGAGATATGCATATGTAGAGCGTACTTCAGTGGGTACATGCGCAGGGCAATGTCCATTCCAGGGCAGTAGGAGAGGAAGGCAGCCAGAGCAGTCTCAGCAAACAAACCGAAGATCAGGATCCTGTTCCTGTTGCATAGAAAATAAGAGTACATCAGAGAAAGGAAAAGTTTTAGACAATTAAGGTTCAAAGTAATTCAAAAATTGTACTCCCTCACTTACCTCATTCCCTGCTGAAAGAGGGAGTTCCTTCTGGTCTTGCAGATGATAAGATCGGCCCACTGGACAACCACGATGCTGGCAAAGAAGCTGGTGTGGCAGGTGAATTCAATGATCTTCCTCTGCTCGTAGGTCTGCCAGGTTGAAACACGCATTGTATTTATTCCTGCACGAGTATGGGAATATCCAAAGGTGTGTTGGTTTGTCTTTGTCGCCGCTCCTTACCCACTGCTGCCCATAGCTGTCCTGCAGGTCGTTGAGCTCACGGTCGTCCCAGTTGATGCGGATGCCAATCAGGGTCCATGGGAGGAAGCCGTTCTCAGCCAAAATCACAAAGTAGGTGAAAAAACCAGCAAGAGCCTGAATCATCCCTGGAAACAAAAAATGTGACCAAGGGATCAATGCCAAGACATCATTTATTCATATATTCTCAGTATTCTCGGTAAGGGTTATCCAAACATTAGTTTACATTTTATGGCAACACTTTATTTTGGTCTGTAATTTCCTGATAGGACATTTGGTGCTAATTATACAATTATAAGTCTTATTTTCAGGTGATTATACACTAATGAAAACCTACCTGTGAATATTATATTCCATTTCTGCGAATAGATCCTCCTTAATGCTACACACTGGACCTTTAATAGAAAATGGGTACAGCTACAGTAATGGATGGATGGATGGATAGATAGATAGATGGATACAGGACCATTTTTACTATTGGCTTAGATTTTTACTCATCTGTTTTATTACAGAACAATAGGGGCAATGTTTTTGGAGAACAAGTAGGAAAATAACAGGATTTGTAGATAATGGGTGTCTTCAGACAAAAGCTATTTTCACAAACAGCAGCACTAATAATACCAATGGTCCAATATTTCTGTATCACTTATTTACAGGAATTATACCAAAAAATATGACAAATAAACTGACTTTGTATTCAGCTCAGTCCACCTAGTGTTTTTCACATAATATATTATTTTAAAAACAGCAGGTGATTACATCTTCCTCTCTCTGTCCTCCACAATGTTGAGATTTTCCAAGTAAATTGCTCCAGACAGCTGAGGACTGCAATAATAGCCGATAGTGAGTTTTAATTTCATGTTGGAAAATTTGTTTTGTCAGAGTGGGCGGGCAATTTCAACATGATGGACATCTTATTTTAGAGCTCAAGTCTTCAAATATACCAAACCTGCACAAGTACTGATCAGGGATTGAGACAATGCTTATCAATCATCTCATCCACTATGATGTTAAATGTAAACCGTGCATCGGGTCAGTTTTCATGTTGATAGATGTGAACATCAGTTTTTGGATGCTGTTACTTTTACTTTTCCTCACTGGTGTTTTCTCCTAAGGTTGGACATTTTACTGTACTGTCGCAATCACTGTTTGTCACTCTAGATCAGATCATCAATTAGATGTTCAGTGTAGATGCCTCAGGACGTCAAGCTGTAACGTCAGAACAGTGGCTTGTAAATCTGATTTGATGTGACCTGCAAAAGTTTTGCCCCAGTGGTGCCCATCTTGGAAGAATTATGGGATGTTGATGTGAGTTACCGGCTGTTTTGAGCATGTTCAGCTTTAAATTGTCATCCAATGAAGCCCTGTCATATTTTGACCCATTTAACAGCCTATGAAATTGGGCCAGCCTTTGATTTTCACTATTCCCAAACCATATAAAACTAGAGATAAAAAGCATGCATTCAAGTGAGGCTCCAACCAGTGAAACATGACCAAGATTAAGTAGAAAATAGTTGCACTCGCCACTCTCAATTTGCTCTAAATGTCACGACAATTAGAAGAAAATTGTGAGGCTTGCTCCTGACTGTCTGCTCACCTCTAGATCTATTTTACTTAAATGTGCGTACCTAAACATTTATAAAAGGCAGTAAGAAATGCCAGAAACTGATAAATGCCAATATTTCATGTTTTTTATGCCTGTGATGTTTAATATAACCATAACTTCACCACAAAACGCCTGTCACCGTGGTCCAGGTTTAAGGGTGGTGGTGCAAAGAGGTTATAAGCCACAAGAGGACAAACCTATCTGTCCGTAGGCCATGCTGATGAGGCGTTCATTCACCAGCTTGTCGCATTTGGGGTTCCTTGGTTGACGTTTCATGATGTCGCTCTCAGCCGTCTCGTAAGCCAATGAGATAGCTGGAACCTGAAGGGAACAGGAGGATAGCACAGAATTAGCTCACTTCATGCACCCGGTACAATAAATGTGCAGGAATTTGTCTTTGTGGCAACAGTACAAAGGCATGATGACAGTGCCAGACATGGGGTAACCTAGACATATCACTATTAATGCAATTCAGCATTCAATCACCGTGTGAAAGGAGACATAAAAAGGGCAAGGAGAGGCGGGAAAAAAGAAGCAGTGACAGTGACAGAGAGAGAGGTGGGGAGAGGAGACAAGAGGAGAGAGACTGATAGTGATTTTCAAGACACTCATAAAATAGGAAGGTAGAAAGGTCCCCGTAATAAAGATCTTATATCGTCTGGTTTTACCAGGTAAGCAACAGAGCAATATGTGTGACTTAAGGCAGAATATCCTGGCGACTTAGGTAGGATTTGAGGTGGGGACTTGGCACTGTGTGGAACTGAATACAAGCTCTGTGGTCTACAAATCCAGTTTGTTTTAGCGTTACACTCCCCTGACCCGCAGCAGCTGAGAAAGACAAGAGGAGGGAAAAAGGATATGACTGTGACTGGCATCGATTGTTGTTTTTTTTTACACCTCGGAAAGCAAGTGTTGCGTACACGTGAACGCAACATCCAAATTTCAGTCTTGAACCATTCTTAAGTGTGCCACATGTCGCTTTGATAAGCATCTTCTGCAGCCATCCTTTTTCCACATGGCAGTGCTTGCTAAAAATAATCATAGCACACTCCAAGTGCTGCTTGTCACTGCTAAATCTCAGCAGAGCCCTCGAGCCTGTTGCCTGGAGTTGAACTAAGCTGTTAACAAGCTGTTAACAACCTCACCAGTACACATGGAAAATTTGTAGTTTTACTTGTGTACTGTACTATAAACACTTTTCAGGTATATTCAGGAATATTTAAATATTCTTCATTTTAGGGTCCTACTCTTCAAAGCAGACGCCCAGCTGTTCACTCCACCAGCGGTTATTAAATACATGCAGACATGTTACTTTGAAGGGAAGGGGTTTTTATATGCAAAACAGGTGCACAAATTAGGTGCTTTTAAACTTCAATCATCTCATCTTTAAAGAGAAATTCAGCCAATAAAGATTGCACAATCCCTGTGATCTCAGACAGTTAAGTAAATATTTGTCAACATGAACAAATCTGTCCTGCTGCTAGAAAACCAAAGAAGTTCATCTTTGATGTCACCTGAGGAAGAACTGCTTTATTAAAAATGTTAGCAAGCTGCTCCTCTTTATTTTTCACCTGTAGAGACTTAAAATGCTTCCTGGCAGTCGAATATGAGGCCTTTATAGTACATGCACCTCGTCTCTTGTATATTTTTGCTTTTGGCTGATTTGGATGTATAAGAACCAGTTTCAGCTGCATGTTTCTGCCTGGTGGCTGAGAGCAGGAAAAATTAAAGTAAAAGTAATGAACACAAGTGAACAAGTCCTTTTGAATATATTCATCCTGGGCTTCCTTTCTTTTGCAATGATGGATTACGCCCCTCAGGCAAGCAGCGTGCCAGCAAGTCTTTTTGTTGCTGCTGGAAATACAATGGAGAGACTGGCATCTGGAAATGGCAGAGCTGTGAAATGTAAATCTGTATGTGAGCGTCACCCGGTCTTTGTTCTGCTTGAACAAATGGACGTCGGCAGCGAGCCAAAAGCGAATTTCTCCCACCGACAGAAAGAACAAATTAAACCAGAGTTTTGTTCTTTTTACCTTCAGGCACTCATATTTGACACAAGTATTAACACTAGTTTCCTTAATGCCACCTTTATCTTGCCTTTAGCTATGCAACATGCTAACAATTAGCATGCCTTCATTGGGAGGAATGACTAAAATTAGCTGACAATTAGCCGCGAGCTTTGGAATTAGACCCCAAGAACCTTGTGTTTTGTTGTTATGACCTCCTGTAACTCTGTGAATTGTAAACTGAATCTGTATAGAGATGGTGAATGTTATCATTCTTCAAAATACAAACATTGGAAACCAGCATCCAAAAGTGAAATGTGTCCAACAATTAGCACATCATACACTTAAAACACAATACAGGCTTGGCAGCAGTCTATACGTCTATTAAGTGGTCATTTTGCAGACACTTAATCAAAAGTATTGATTGAGATAATGAAGGACTTGTTGGCGTATCTACAGAGGCACTGAGGGACTGAACAAAAGGAATTCGTTTTTCCCCACTGCTCACCATGTCAGTGCCCAGGTCGATGCAGAGGATGGTGACAGTTCCGAGTGGAAGAGGAACGCTGGCAAGGATGAAGACGAGGAAGGGCGAGATCTCTGGGATGTTACTGGTCAGTGTGTACGCAATGGACTTCTTCAAGTTGTCAAAGATGAGACGACCTGCAGCGATGGGAAACACATGAAAGAAAAATGGGTCTCTGTAGAGATGCAAGATTTGTGTTTATAGATATATTATTAATCCCGGGATATGTGAGTAGATTTTGGATGAGATATTGGTTATGTACTACCACAGCATAGTTTGAGACTGTTTATGACGTTATAGGCTTCATCATGTTCAAGTCAGTTTTAATTGACTTTGACTGCTTCGTCAGCATATCCACATTACTACAGGTTTTTCTCAGGCCATATTAGATATTAGCAACCCCTACTTTAGATTAAATACCAATCTCTTGTGGCAAGCCTAAGGTCATATCTCAAGTCTGTCAGAGTAACTCTTAAATCAAGTCCTTGAGGGCAAGGCCATGTCAGTTCACAAGTCTTGATAAGCAAACAGCAGATCTCTGAATGCTGACCATTAAAGCAATACGACATTTGAACTTTTTCTTTTCAAAGATAATTAACACGAGTCTCAGCTATATAAAAGATGTTAATAATAACCAATACATAGGCAGAAAAATAAAGTATGTAAACCCTGCTTGGCGCTGTCTTATTTATTTTTTATTCTCACAGATTTTACCAGTTCAAAACTCAAGACTTGAATGTTTCAAGTGTCAAGTTAATTCAAGTCTTTTGGAAGTCAAGTTTAAACTAAGTCGAGACTTAATATGGTGACATCCTAATTTTTGTGACTGAAGTCTGACTCTAGTCTACAGCTCTGTTAAATACTGTGTCAAACACAATAATAATAACAATAACTATTTATTTATCAGCTATTTATTAAAAAATCATCATCAGTCTCTATTGCTACATTACAACAGAGCTTGCTTGTAGACTTTTAAATGCCCTCTCCCTTTGTTTCTCTGACTTGCTTTTTTCCCTTTTTCTTTCTATCTTTGCTTCCTCTCACCCTATCAGTTCCTTCTATTATTCTTCCACTCTGTCTCTCTACCCCTGTCTTACTCCCTCTCTGTTGGCCTTTCCCCACACTCTCACCTTCTTCTACTCCGGTGACGATGGAGGCGAAGTTGTCATCCAGCAGGATCATGTCAGCCGCCTGCTTGGACACATCAGAGCCGGCGATCCCCATGGCAACCCCTATGTCGGCTTTCTTCAGGGCTGGGGAGTCGTTCACACCGTCGCCCGTCACAGCCACGATCGCCCCCTGCACCGACAAAGACCAGCGAACAAAAAGTGTCAAGAAGAGAAAGATAAGTACCATGATTTAAGCTTTTCTCTCTCCACTTCCCGCTCTTTCCCCCTCCCTTTCTGTCTTAATAATGTCTTTTCAAAGCAGCTCTGGGGAGATTAAATGAAAAATGGAATTGAGTTGCAATCATTCAGTCACAAGGAGTGAGAGTGAGTGAGTCAGGGTGAATTGTAGCATGACCTCAATATATGGGGATGTGTGCAAGTGAATGCACACATCTATTTTCTACATTTGACATAAAGAAGTTGATGATATACATTAAGACATATATATGGTTTGATAAATGAATTTAATATGCAGTTAATCATATACGTTAGATACACACTTGCATTCAACCATATTCTCACAAATGGACCTCCATAGCATGCACACACTTGCACACAAACGCACAAAAGCCTGTATTCATCCATCCAACCACCTGCACTTACAAATGGCTCAAACACACTCACACACACAGACACACACAAGCAGTTACACACACAGTAAACTGTATTCAGCCTAAAATGGCAAGGACACATGCACTCACATACACACACCTGTATTCAACCATACCATACCTCCACACTTAGACATAAACAGACACATTCAAGCATTCATCCAGACTTTATCACAAACACACACATGCTTACATTCAACCATCACTATTCAGATGTGCGCTCTCAAAAAAGGCCCAACACACACACACACACACACACACACACACACACACACACACACACACACACACACTCCTGTCCATTGACCTGTCTCTGGCAGCCCTCCACTATGATGAGCTTCTGCTGAGGAGAGGTGCGAGCAAACACTATCTCAGTGTGGTTCCTCAGCAGGTCGTCCAGGTACTCGCAGCTCATGTCCTTTAGGTCTGAGCCGTGCACCACACAAGCTTTAGCATCCCTGAAAAACAAACACATATACACACACACCAAACACAGTAAGGAGTCAGCGGTACCGGGGGCAATTATGCAAAAGGAGGCATTGACATTTTCTAGTTTTCTCCTCAAGTTTGTCCTTCAGTTTTTTTCTCACATATAAACAAGCACATACACACTACACAAGCGGGAAATATACACTCTTTCTTTCTTAAAGGAACAGTTCGATAGTTTCAGAAATGTGCGTATTCACTTTTTCGTGGAGTTGGGTGACAGGATTGATACCAGTCTCATGTCAGTCTGTTCAAAATGAAACTGAAGCCAGCAGTTGGTTAGCTTAGCTCAGAATCCACCTGCCAGAACCTCTAAAGCTTTAATTAATGTGTTGTTTTAATATTTAATCTGTTCAAAAAACCAAAGTGTAAAACCAGTTATTTTACATGGTGTTATGTGCCAGACTATTTCTTGGCAGAACATGATCCTGCAGTCTTGTCGTCCCCTATCTGCTTAATATGATCAGATTTTCCATATTGTCACTCTTATTTCTATCTACTCTGTGCACATGGCATCTGTTTCATATCTTTCCTTCCTTTTTTGCTCACTGTTAAAGGAGTTTTTCCTTTTAAAAAATGAAATATAACATGTTATTTTATGAGCTTTAGAGGTACTGGTGGATGGATTTTGTTACATTCGGACAGAGCCAGAGCTGTTTCCCCCTGTGTCCAATGTTTATAAGCAAACTGGCTTCTGGCTCCAGCTTCATATTCTCATCTAACTCTCAAATAAACAAATTTCAAAAAATGTTGAACCATTTTTTTTTTTACACACACACACACACACACACACACACACAGACACAGACACAGACACAGACACACACACACACACACACACACACACACACACACACACCCAACCTTGCATGTACTCACACCCCACAGACACATCACTGCCCACATACTCAAACACAGACTCACAAAAACGAACTCTTAGATGCTGGGGCACACAGCCTAAACCCTCCTCTGACACACACACACACACACACACACACACACACACACACACACACACACACACACACACACACACACACACACACACACACACACACACACACACCTGGGGTTAACTTGGCTCAGCGGGATGTTCAGTCTCTCGGCGATGTCCTCGACCGTCTCGTTGCCCTCAGAGATGATGCCCACACCTTTAGCGATGGCCTTGGCTGTGATTGGGTGGTCCCCTGTTACCATGATCACCTGACCGAAGACAAAGGTCCCATAAATCACAGCGCATTATCACATTCAACCCCACTCTATCTCATCTGTGTGTCATGTGTCACAGTGTGCTTGAGCTGCTGTGCAGCATGGGCCCCTAGTGCCCATAAGTCATCCAAATGTGTTGTGTAGTTACACTGGAAAAGAATGGCGCTATCAGGGGTTAAGGGTTCAAATCTGGCAGTATACTCCAACAAAAATCTTCTTTGGTGGGTTCCCAAAGGCAAAATAGTGAAATTGTGACAAAACCCATCAGATTTACGGTTTGTGACCAAAAACAAGAGCAGCATGTGTCTGTGTTCATCATACTCTGCATAGGCTGGCTAGTAGAGCTTGCCAAATTACTCATCCTCATTCATCAACCTCTGTACGCCTGCAACAGATTAACAATGCCTTATGACTAGTTGCAGGTAGCAGCTAGTTTCACTTTTCAGTGCTTAGTTTTAGTGTGAATTACAAGCTGCTTCTTGTCCTGAGGGAGCTTTTCTGACACATATCGTCCATTTTTTTGGTAATCCTAATAGACAAAACTCACAGATCTGACTAAAACGCTCTTTTCTTATTTCATCACATAAGAGACAATAGAACATACTTGGGTTTCATTCTCAGTTTCTCCAAAATATCACATCAGACAGAATTTGTTCATCTGGCATACTAAAACACTTAATAAATATAACTGTTTCTATTTCTGGGGCCAAAATGTCAAGTAATAAACCGTAACTAAAAATGACTGTAAGATATTTGGTTCTCGGGTAGGATTTGTGAAAAATTTACATGATTCTGATATATAAGACAGTCGTGAGGAAAATGTGCCCATAGTTTAGGTTTATAACATAACTGCATCCATACAAACTGCAAGGAATATCTTATGTTGAATGTTTGGTATATCGCACCTGAACTTGTGTGAAAAGTTAAGCAATAATTTACATAATTATGTGGAGTAAATCCTAAACACTGTCATAATCTACAGCATGACACAAGCTAAATGAAGGTGCAATAAAGACAGAGCACTATATATTGCACTAAAGCCTTTGGACTGATGCTGTGGACTAAGGGTGCACGTTGCACCTAAATGTCACATCAGTTAAAAAGTAATTAAAGCAAGAGAGTCATGTGGTGTGGTTTCCTCCTGGGCTCAGCTACGAGGAAATACACCAGATTTGTACGGGTGTGTACCATTGGCTGTGTACATGTGTCAGTCCAAAAATGTTTGTCAGACAATTCATCTACAGCAGATCTTATACCTGACACAATTCAGCAGTTATATGAAGCATGTTGACATATCTTAGCTAGTAAAATCATATCATCTGTATAGAATACAATTTTAACAATTATATCAACGATTTGAAATACCAGTTTAACTTTGAGTTTAGGTGTTCAGCTATTTGTATAAATAATGATGGAAGTGAGTCCATATGTTTGCTTCCTAGGTCTTAGTCTGTATTATATATACAGCTGTTGATTTGGCTTGATGAGGTGTGCATTATAATATGTACTACAGCCTGTATGATGTCAATTTCCTTTCTGTACTCATTCAATAAATAGATAATGTGATGGCTTAGACTTACAGCAGGAGTGCAGTTATGCAAACATCACATGTAGGTGCAAAGCTCTTGATGAAATGAGTAATTTAGAGTTTATCCCATAATGCCCATTCCAACTAAAACTCCAACTACAGAACTGATTAAATGTCTGATATAATGTTTATCTCACAAAGTCTTCAAATACTTACATCTTCACTCACTTCTGCCTCGAGTTCATTCTCTAAGCCAATTACAGTATGTCTTTCAAAAAGTCATTATCAAAGGAAGCATGATAACTACTGTACCTGAAATTAAATGTGCAAAATCCTTTCCCCATATTTGTAATACTTCCCCTGCAATGAGAAGTATTCACTCTACTCATTATCCATTTTTATCTCTGCTGGAGTTGTTTAACCTTCCTGTGGCCCAGCTTATTACTTTTCTGGAAAAACATCTGCTCTGTGTGTATTTGAAGCTGATTAACGTTGAATGAAAATTTGTAATAAAATGTACTCAATCTGCTTTTTACAAAAAGGAACCTTTTCTAAAATTGATCTGTTAATCTGCTAAGTTCATCCTGTATCGCCTGTCATTGCTTTTTTTTAATCTGTTTTATATCACAAATTTCATTTTGTGATTTCTGAAAGCATTTATACCTACAAGAGATCAATATAGCCTCTGAAGAAACATCAAAACTGTTCACCATGCTTCTGTTATTTTGGCTGGCCTTCTTTTTTAAAGTGTTTGGACTGAATATGTTACCAGCAGCTTCCGCTAAGCAATAAAACTTTAGTTATCCATTGATTATCACCAATCAGGGCCCCTTGGAGTGACCGGTTGTCATTTGGACTCGATTTTCTGATTTGAAAAGACATTTGACATGCAAATCCCTTCTCTGAAAAGCCAGAAAAATTAAGCCCGAGAAAAGACTTTTCAGGAACTACAATGCAGGTTGAATGTGTGGAACCAATTACCTTGATACCAGCAGAGCGGCATTTACCCACTGCGTCAGGCACAGCGGCACGCGGTGGATCAATCATGGAGATGAGACCCAGGAAGCAGAGCTGTTCGGTGGGGAAGTTCGTGTCTTCGCTGTCGAAGGTGAATCCTCGAGGGAACTGGGATGAAGACAGATTCAAGTGGCAAAAGCCTGCAAGAGAAGAGGGATCAGTAAGGTGATTGTTCATAACTGACTGAAATGACATCTCAAAGTATACTACAGCTATCAATGAAAAAAAACTTTTTTCTTTGTTGCTCTGACATCAACTGGCAATTTATCTGGCACTTTAAAACGCAGACAATTTCTCACAACTCTAAGGATGTTTCAAGTCCAAAACATCCAATTAACAATAAGGATGCTCTAGTGTATTTTGCTGTAGATATTTACAGTAAAACTCTACAAAGAAATAATATAAAAATAATATGAAAGAGTTCTGAAGGCTCTCAAAAACCCTATCAAAAAAAACATTGTCCTCTGGCTGCAATGATCCCTTACCTTACAGTATGCATACAAATCATTTTTAATTTTAGATGTAGATTTGAGGATTGCAGGTCTGAAACACAAATTGAATCAGACACTTTTATTAATTAATGATCCACAGCCCTTGAAATATGTATCTCTTGAATCCCCTATAGAGCAAAGCAAATCAAGATGGGAAACCAGGCTCAGTCTAAAAGTGGAGGAACCTTTCTTTGTCACGAAAAACACCCAACCCATCATCATCACCACCCAAGGCATAACTGAGGTTTAATAATTTACATGATTTCAGGAGTTTCACTCCAAAAATGGCACTATTCCACATTTCACTGTTTGAAAAACTGACACCTACTCTAACAAAATGATGATAGCACATAATTATTACCTATGGCACTTTTTAAAAGATGCCAGGTAACTTTTTTCCTTGGTTGTCAAAATGATGACATTTACAGAGTCTGGATGCTAAACACTTTAGAGATATTGGAAGTTGAACTTCAGGGTAATATCTTTTTTTTACCCAAAATGTGTCTATGGCATTTTACAAGGAAAAACATTATTTCAGTTCCTTTAGTGCAGTGTTTGACCTGAATTAAATTACCAGTCTATTACCAGCTCATAATCCATACAATATAACATACTAAATTCACACTATAGAACCTATATCTCTACATTTTCATGTGCCAATTATAATTTAAGCTTTAATTCCACATCAGTCTGAGACTGCAGTGCCAAAACCATCTTCTATGTATACACTGCTGTAATAAAACCATTTAACACCTAATGGCTGAACGACCCTGTTTACCAAGGAGATGAGGTGAGTGTTGTGTCCAACTGCCTCTCCATGCTTCCTATTCCCAAACAGGCTGACAATAGCTGGTGCCATAAATCATACCAAGTACTCTCTCTCCCAGTCCTCCCAGCTCCATGTAGGCATTCTGGAAAGCGTCTCTCCAGCTTTCATCAAGCGGATGCTCCTGGCCATGGATCATAATGGTACTGCACCTGTGAAACATTTATTATTAATACTTTTATAGGTACTGAACTGTTAATAATAACATAATCTCTACCTGCATAGCAAACGTGTTGACAAGCTGCTGTGAAGCAAATGATGCAAACTGAATCTAAAAATCAATCTGTAATGAGCTCAAGGTGGGAAAACTATGGCCGTATTTTTAATGACACTCACAGTAACTTATACTTTTGGACAAAGGTGACATGTGGTGGATGGCTGACCAGGAGCATTTGATCTGACTGAAAGGACAATTGGAGTCCTCAGATGACTATTTGGGAATGCCACAATATTGTATATGTATATATTGGGACACCAATGAAGTATGATATTGTTTCATCTGGGCACAGACATATCTTGGTTAAAAAACAGCACCTGACCCTCACCCCAATATCATAAATATACACTAACAAAGGTGCACAACAAATCCACTGAAAGGACCAAAAGCACCAAAGTGTTAATGTATCTCCCAGTACTTCTGGATTTCCCTCTCCTGTCTGTGGCACTTAGCCCCAAACTCATTAGTTCCTACTGAAACAGATCACAAATATATCTAGTTTAATTGTTTCTTAAAAAGGCAAGTCCAAAACAGCTGGGGGACTTTAGTTTTTCCATCACTCCAACAAGGACTAAACTGTGAATTTGTTGAGGATTACTTTCACCGGTGGATTAATACACATTTGCTGCTCTAGTGAGTAATTGTGGCAGCAGGGCAGTGTGTGTGGGATTGACCTAAAATAAACTACAGTGCCCATGTTCACGTTGATGAAAGAACATGTCAACAGAGCAACAGTGTGGTTCACTGACATTTTATGTTTTCAATGGTGGTACATGGCACTGTGGAATAAGATGTACCATGTTTAAGATACAGACAATGCTTTCTAGATAGGTTACTGTGATCAATTCAAAGTCGGTTTTAGTCGTTTCAGGAGATTTGTAAACAATAAAAAAACAACATATAGAACATTGTCAGCCTTTAGGGAGAATGTATTTTTCCCTACGTTCCTGAAAAAGAGGCAATACGTAAATGAAAAACAAGAAAAAAAATTTGTGCTACCTTACTAGAGAAGACACATAATCAATGCGTTATTGATTAACCTACCTGTCCAAGATTCTCTCTGGCGCTCCCTTCATGACCAGAATATGACCAGAGGGATTTTCCTCCACTTCATGGACAGAGAGCTTGACAAAAGGGGGGAGGAGGATAGGAAGACTGGTGAGACCAGAACATGACAGGATTTTATTTTGAAACAAGATGCAACATTTAAGTTTATTGATGGTTATTTCTTGCTGGTGTAAATTTTCGTCTTTGTTACAGTAAGAAAAAGGCTCAAGATGGACGTGCTCAACAATGAATTTCACGTTTGTGCAAGCAATCATTTTTGGGGGCGTGGATGTCATATTTTTTTCCAAATGGTTTGGAATAAAAGTCTTATCAAAGTTGACTTGACTGAGTGCACATTCTAAGTCATATGTATTCCCTATGTTGAAGGAGCATTCGTTCACACTCAAATGTATTCTGGTGGTGTTAGACCTTGCATTACCGCTTCCCCTACACAAACACACATACAAGCACAGACACACATACACCCACACACACTACCCAAGGTAATTTGTATCTGAGTCACAGCATATCTAATCTCAGAAAACCAGAGCAAAATTGCTTTTTTTTTCTCCCCCCCTCAACACAGACGTTCCTATTTTAAGTCAGGGAACAGGTGCACAAAATACATGCAGGAAGTCCTTTGTTTGCTCCAACATCACTGTTGTGTTATTCATACGCTGGTTCAAATCTCCAGACAGGATGGGAAAGACTGGGTGTGGAAAGCAGAAACATTCCTCCTGCCATAATTGCTGTGGTGCCCTTGAGCAAGGTGGTTAAGCACGATGTGATAACTTTTTCATAGTTCAATATTAACTTTTAATTTTTACCACGGTTGTTGACTCCTGCAGGATGTAACAAAGCATGCAACTCAACATAAAACCCTTGAGTAGTGCCTGTTGGGACCTATAGTGTACAAGAAAAACAGCTCAAATTTTAGTACCACCCAGGATGATGATGATGATGATGATGATGATGATGATGATGACACTGATGATGATGATGATGTAGCAGCACAAGGTCTTCTTGCCTAACCCCACCCAAACCTTGCTGAGCTTATGAGCCAATTCAATTAAAAGGGATTTCTGTCCATTTAAAGGTAGCAACCGAGCCTCTTCTGATCAGCCAAAACCAACTAGTTTTTAATCTACATTTATCCTTCTATCATAAATAACACACACCTCAACACTGCGTCAGCTACTCTGTGACTCACAGTGTTGTGTTTGTGGCCTGTTTGTTGGGCAGCTTCCAAGTATAAATGTGTGCAGCGGTATGAATGTAAAGCAGAGTGCCGTTGTAAAAGAGCATGTATGTTTAGGCTGCCTTCCGCGGATGGAGAAAGGTTAAAAATGAATATGCATGATTCACTCAAAGTATGTAAAGAAAGAAATGTTTTCCAAGTCTTGGAAATGCATCTTTTAAAATGTAATGTTGACAGTTTAAAGATAACTAACAGAATTGCCAAAAGAAAATTATAAATTGTATATTGTATATAAATACAATTAAGATTTAAAAAACAATAAAAAATTACAAATAAATTTAAATGTAAAAGTTTAAAAAAATATAGCATTTAAAATTGCAGTCTTTAAATATTTAAGTATTTGTCATTTTAAAAGATTGGATAAAATGTGAACTGTGAATTAAGTCATGAATAGTCTATAAATGGGTTTTAGGATTCTGTAGACTGTAGACTTGCATCAGCATTGCTTATGATGATGCAATATTCATCACATACCTGGTACTTGTTGGTGGAGTTGAAGGGGATCTCTGTCACTTTGGGGTTTCTGGCTCTCATGTCACGAACACTCCCACAGCACAGCTCGATGCATTTCAACAGAGCTGACTCTGATGCGTCCCCCGCTGTCTCCCTCTGGGGAAACACACACAGCCGCACATTAGCACAGTCACTCACATATGCATATTGAGAAATGAGTGTTGTGTGTCTCACTGCCTGCGTTTATCACACTGTGGTGGAAGGGAGCTTTAACTGATTAAAGTGCTACCTGAGAGGACTTCATTTTCTTCCATTATGGTTCTCATTAATGATGCAGGTAGCCAAGTATAATCTGCATTATAGACACATATAAATCTGACCACAACATTGTTTTTAAAGATTAAAAAAAAACTTTAATGTAAAAGTAATGAAAGTGCAAAACTGAAGAATATAATTTCATTAAAACAGCTCATTTTCTTCTGGAAAGATATAGCTGAAAAATCAGCCATGTGCGCCGCTTGCAAGGTATCTTAAGGGCATTTTCTAAGGATATGGATGTAAAAGGCCCTGGATTTGAAAAGTTCACATCATGTTGGAAATATATTGTTGGAGGAACACATTGCCTGTTGGCAATAATCAATAACAAAGTGGTTGCTAAGGTTGTAGCTAACAAGTACATTCACGCTTGCAAACATTTAAACTTATACAGTTATAATTATTAGAGGAAAGGCCCATGAAGCACGTATAGACTACTTCCACATGTAGACATCCACACACTAAATTAAACCACACATACAAAACAGATGCTCAGGAGGCCTTTGCGAGGCTCAGAATTGAATTATTCCCTGTTTGGATGCAGATTGCTCGATATTTGTTTTTGTGTTTTTTGCAGGTTTATCTGCTTCAGCCATTGTGACAGAGTTGCTTGAATCATTTAGGAGAAAATTCTCCTCTGATAACCTGTAAAATCCCCCTCGATAAAAATTCATGCAGTGCAATTCATCCCGCTCTTGGAGCCAATTTATTAAAATCCATGCTGAACTGATTGACCTGACGCCCGATCTACCAATGGGGGCCGAACCAATACAAGAGATTTCTCTTTGTTCCTGTTTATTCATTCATGAACAGCCACAAAACAAGGACACACGCTCCGTGAGATTTGTCCTTGTTTGTGCCTTTTCATGAATGAATAACTAGACCAAGGAAATTCCAATTTCTCTGTTTTTAAGAGTGCAGATGGGGACTTGTAATGGTAGTAGAGCCTGGGCCTTGACTGCTGAGTTTGAGTGCTGCAGGAGATATGGCTGTTACTTAAAGCAGGGAGGAAGCCTGGGCACCTCGAGGAGCAGAGAGGCTGCAGTGGCAGGGTCGGCTCCCACCAGAGTCAAGAAGCTGTAATCCCAGTCGCTGAGAGCCACACAGAGAATTTCTTCAGGTCAATGTAGCACAGGTTGTAGGATAGCGGTTGGTAGAACACTGGGATATTATTGACTTACCTACCCAGCAGTGTGTGTGTTTGTGTATCAGTGTGGGGGAGTTATTTCCAGGGGTGCATTGGATTATCCTCTGTGAGAGTCTGTTTATGTGTGAGACGGAGGCTGAGCATGTAAGTCAGTGTGTGTACTGCACCTGTGTCAAGTGGTATTGACAAATTATTTTTATGGGTTGTTCTTTTTCCCAGTGGATACACCAGTAGATTGAAATGTTGCTTACATCAGTAATAGCAATATAATACTGAAAAATGATAATCTGGTCTGATCATTTTACTTCTACTGTTAAACTTAAATACATGTTGCTGCTAATGTTGAGGTTGATTTGTAGTTTGCTGTACTTTAAGCTTAAGGATAAGACTAAAACCAACAATGAGTGCCACATTTAGTGTTAAGGTTTGGCTCTTTTGTGTTTGTAATTGGTTTTTGGACAATAGTGGAGCCTCATATGGCTCATGGATTAATGAGCTGTGGCATCAAAGATAATTCTTGTAGAATAATTTAGAAAATGACATGTTTTTAAGTACAATTAAGTGCAGTTTTGCTACTTTACTTAAGTAGATGATGTTAACACACCATCCACCACTGCTTATTTCTGAGTGACAGCTCACCTGACACTGTCCCGATGTTGTTAACTTCACCCTACTGGCAAAATCCTGTGTTATGAATAATGTGCATGCATTATTTGATCCTAATCTAAAAAGACCTGCTCATTACAGATTAAACTAAACATGTTATAACTCACTGCTTTAGCGAGCAGATATAATTCACGATATGGAATTTTCAAACCAAATTTCACGAACAAATTTCCCCCCTGGTGGACAATAAAGATATATTCTATTCTATTCTATAAATGCAAATGTTTAGAAAGCTGCTGTTGTAGTGTCTGTGTGTGGTGGAGCTTTATACCATCACAACGGGAAAGTTCTCCTGTCCGGCTTTGAAATCAGCTCTGTTGCACAGGCCGGCCACGCGAGACAGAGCAGTCCAAGTAGCAGAGCTCTTGTCAAAACCCAAACCTGAGAGAATAGCAGAGGGAGCTGTGTTAGACTTTTTTTTTTTTTTTTTTTATAAGCAGAGCTCATGCAGTATTTATGCTACTGACTTAACTCTCGGTTCACCGAGTACCATTTGATATTGTAGCTAAATAACAGAGGTCAGTTGAGTTGAGCAATCATTATTTCCTTGACAATTCCCCCAGTCTGAAAAATGGCATTTATTTTTCACAAGAACGTCTCGGAAAATAAAAGCTGTTTGGATCAAAATTTCATCTCTCCCACCCAATCGAACTGAAAATGACCCTCACTCTTGCTACTGGTGCCCACATTCATTTTTCATTTTAGCCGGAGACTCTCCAGAGTGGTCACTGTCACTGTTATTGTGAAAACAGAATGTGATAGCGTCATGCACCATATAGTACAATGGCAAACTGTGGCTGATGGAGTTGGAGGGAGTTGTTGAACTTGACAAAGTGAGAGTGCATAAGGCTCAAAAACCTGCAACAGCTGCAAAAATAGTCTGTACTCCTGAAAAATGAACACAGTTTTTTTTCTCTCTTGCACTGTTTCAGCTGTACAGCCTTTGTCAGCACTGCTGGCCATTCATTGCACAATTGTCTGACTCAATACTCATTGGTATGCAAAGAACACCTGTTTTTTTCTTTTTTTCTTTTCTTTCTTCCAAACCTTTTGGTTTTTGCTAAAAGCTTCTTTGAAATTTGGCTCGATTTGTCGCTGTTTGGTAGGAGACAGCAATCCGATTGGTTCCGCAGCAGCAGCCTTGCCGGGGAACTCTGGGAAAAGACACGTTTGTAGTTGAGGGTTGTGCCGCCCACTGCATACCGCTGCTCAATTAATCCAAGCGGTAGTGTGAACAGCAATGTTGGTTGGCGGCGTGAACATTGGACAGATGAATTTCAGCAGGTGGTCACCCTCCCTCTCTGCATTCCCTCACACTCCCTATCTCCCCTCTATATTTCTCCCTCTTTCCCCCAAGCTCATTTTCTCTTCTCCTCCTCCTCCATTTCTTTTTTCCCCTCTCTCTCTCTCACTGTCTTACCAGTCTGGTCCTCGGTGGTGTCAGCCTCGTGGATCTGGTTGTCGAACCACATGTGGGCCACGGTCATGCGGTTCTGGGTCAGCGTGCCCGTCTTGTCGGAGCAGATGGTGGAGGTGGAGCCGAGAGTCTCTACGGCCTCCAGGTTCTTCACCAGACAGTTCTTCTTGGCCATTCGTTTGGCAGTGAGAGTCAGACACACCTGGGAGGACAACGGGAGGTGAGGGGGAGAGAAAGGGGTGTGGGAGGGGGGTGAAGGAGGGAGGGAGGACGAGGAGAGGGGAGGCGAGGATGGATGATTGTTAGTCGACGAGGGGAGCGAGCATGTGTACGCACTGGTGCATTCAAGTGTTTGTGCATGTGAAACCATGCGTGGTCCAGGTGCCTTACAGCGAATCACTGTGTTGGTGTGTGTGTGTATGTGTGTCTTTGGTTGGCTGGTTAACAGCAGGTGCACAGGAACATAAAAATACGATGAATAGACACATTCCATATGTTGTAGGAGACACATCAACACACATTAATTCAAGCTGACCACGTTACTCAAATAGCAACAAATGCAGCAAGCAAACATTTCCACACCCAAGTCATGGAGTGCTTAAATCAAAAGCAACTAAAGAAACCAGTCACTGGAAGTTAATTTATTTTCTGGGACCAGTGAAATGTCGACTGATGGCATTTCAAATGCCAGCTGGCATCCACCTCAGCTCACACTTTGTTTATTGTTGCAGAAAAAGTTAGATGCACTTCAACATTTGAGCTCCTTCAACAGTCAATAATAAATCACCTCCTTTGCTGTGTAGCATCATTAGAGCTACAGCTAACAGTCACTGAGGGTAAATTATAGTTAGGAAGAGCACAGGTGTAACTAATAACATTGATGATGGCTCTATTCCATTTAGGTGTGCCAGTAAGCCATGACAGTGAGCCAGCGGGCACAATATCAGGGTTCTACAACTGGCACGCTTAAAGCTGGACTAATCAATATTTTTATGTTAATAATAGATCCAATTACTGCAGTTAATGAAGAAACAGCTGCGCAAAACAACAAAGCCATGGAGAGTTAACACCCAGCTCTACGTTTCCCCCTTAGTTCTGCAGAGCTTTTAAGCCTCTTTTAGTTCATTATTTCGGTTTTCAGGCCTACAAACTACAATCTCGTCAACCTCATTTCCAGGAGCCTCAGACAAGCTCATAAACCCTTTATAAGCTACCGGCGCAGCAACAAACAGCAGGGGTTAGCAGCTAGCTGGTGAAGAAGGTCATACATCTAGCAGCCAAAGAGCAAGAATTGTGTACTGTGTAATATGTGGCGTGCTGTTAAAAGTTTAAAATAACTGTTTGCTAACATGTTCACCATAAATTCATGAGGGAATATGTCAGATGATTTTCAGCTTGTTCCATTTCAATTAAAGCAGCTTTAAATGGTGTGCAACCAATAATAATGTTATTAATTATACCTGTGTTTAATCTGACCACTGTCATAAAGATCCATATTATACTGCATATATAATCATACTGTATAAATACAAGTCAGCTACCAGATTTACACAAAAACAAACTAAGCCACAACCACATACTACAGTCCACCCACCAATCACCCCCATCTTCACATGACTCCTTCCTATTACTTATTAGCTTTAGTTTAGTTTGAAAAATAAACAATGAAAATAAAAAGAAGTTAAATTACCATTTACAACACAAACCTTTTTGTGCACTCTTTTTCCCATGGTTCTGTTCACTATTCCCAGAAGCATATTATGAACTGTCCTTGCTACAAGGGGACCTTTTTTTGTTGTAAACTGAAGTGCACATAGCCTTTTGGCAGTTAAACAAGATGAGGGTGTACGGGGTCATAAAATCCAATTAAAAGGTGTTAAACTGATCTGCTCTTTAAGAAAAAAAAGAAAAAAATGGTGAAAATAAGTAAAGAATGTCCTACAATGAGCCTCTCTCATAAAAAAGAGGAACACACTCACACATGTTACTCACAGTGACAGTAGCCAGCAGTCCCTCAGGCACATTTGCCACAATAATGCCAATGAGGAAGATGACGGCCTCCAGCCAGGTGTAGCCCAGGATGAGTGACAGGATGAAGAAGCTCACGCCAAGGAAGACAGCCACGCCCGTGATGATGTGGATGAAATGTTCGATCTCTATGTTGATGGGCGTACGGCGGACTTCAAGCCCTGATGCAAGCGTTGCGATGCGACCCATCACTGTTCGGTCACCGGTGCCTATCACAATGCCATGGGCGGTACCTGAGAGGGATGACTGTTAGTCTCTCTGGACAAAGGCATCAGTTACACCATGCATTTTTATATTTTACCAACCATCAGTTCATTCCACTGGGTGGTCAAGTAGATGCCCTTATGCTGAAGTGAAAGGTGTGTTTTTCAGAGTAATATGTAAAGAGACAAAGGACTGTCAACAGTGTGTGAGACACAGTAGGAGTTGAGAGCTCTGATTTGTAAACAGGATGGAGGGCTGGTAAGGAGGTGATGGCTGGATGAAGAGTGGTGATGGATTGAGGTGAATTACAGGTGTTGACCAGTGATTGATGGTTGGATGGACTGAGCAGATGCTGGACAAAGTGAGAGAAATGAATCCCTCACTTAGAGAGGATTATCCAGAGTACCCGGGACTTTGTTTCTAGAAAGAAAATGTTTCTACTGATTTTTTTTTAATTCTACGAAAGTCTCTAATTCTGCACGCACAACAATATAAAACATCATTCACTTCCTGAGGTGGAAGCAGAAATCTCAGGGACTATATCTATATAGACATTAATGGAGTTTAGAGAGAAAATATATACATTTTTGTAATTTGTGAGAATCACTCCTTTATTTACTGTATATTAAAATGATTTATATCTAGGTAGGATGCAGTTAAATCCTGAATCTCAGCTTTGAAAGGACCAGTATGTGTCGGATTTAGTGGCATCTAGTGGTGAAGGTGCAGGTTACAACAATTTGAATACAGTTCAGCCCTCCAAGTGTGAAACTGAAAGGTAAAAGGCCCTCTCTAAAGCCAGTGTAAGGTTTGTCTGTTCTGGGCTACCGTAGAAACACAGTGGTTCAACATGGTGGAATCTGTAGAGAGGACCCGCTCCCTCTGGAGATAAAAAAGGCTCATTCTAAGGTAACAAAAACCCAACTGTTCTTATTTCCAGGTGATTATACCCTAATGAAAACATACTTATGAATATTATATTCCATTTCTGCCAATAGATCCTCCAAAAAATTTCAGTCAACATAGACAAGTAACCCTTAAAATGCTCAGGAAAAATGGAAACATTAACTACTACAATTCCATGACAACTGGACAAACTCCATCTACTGATTAAATTATGTGATATGATTGAAAGAGCCACTAAATGGACCTGGTGGGACTGTTTTCTCAACTGTTTTCAAGCTCAAGAACAAACCTCAGCTAAATCATTGATTGACAATTGATTTAATTTGCAGACTGGGTCTTCATTGTATATTAAGTATCATTAGACTTAAAATTAATATATATTTTTTCCAGAATGAATGTTGATGTTGATGATACCTTGGGAACAAACTGTTCTTAGATGAAGATATTGATGTAGTGGCAGATTCTAAAATGCATCACTGCGCAATGATTGATAGCAACTGGAATACTAACTAAAATCCCCAATGGTTGAATCTCAAATGGAAACGCTCATTTATAATCTTCATGCATTCAACATTCAGTAACTACACACTGTACTGCAGGATGGAGGGATGGCTGTTCTGATGAATCATGCACTGAAACACTCATGGTTGGGCAGTAATGCAAAACTATGTCGATCTCCAGATGGGTAGAAAAAAAAGACATTTAGAGGCGATAAGAGACAATCTTGGCCAGATGTGGCCTACTGACCCTCGACACAGTTGGTGGAAAAGAAACAGATGTTGCGGGTCTCCAGGGGATTGTCGTGTGTGAACTCCGGGGAGCGAGTCTGAGGCTCAGATTCTCCCGTCAGAGAGGAATTGTCCACCTTCACAGGGAAGAGAGAAGAGTGTAACCCAGTGAGACTGAGGGACAGACACAGGAGAGAGTGAGGAGGTGAGACAGACTAGGTGGAAATGAAAGAAGCATCACTTATAGGCAACACGTGCAGTGATGCAACACTTTTCATGTCAAAACCGTCTTCTGGTCTTGGTGATTTTTCACACGTTCCTGTATAGGTGACGAAATTTACACCACTGATAAGAACAGTCTTATGACACTGCTTCAAAATCCAGTGGGATAAACTTTAAAATGAACACTAGTCAAGCTAAAGGTGTCACATTCGGGAGAAACCTTCACCCTACAGCAACAGTAGGTATACAGAAAAAAAAGTCACTAGATATTATGGGAAATGTTACCCATAAAACTGCTCTGCAATGTGTTTAATGTGTGTTATATATATATATATATATATATATATATATATATATATATATATATATATATATGACTAAAATATTGCTTGTTTGCTTGAAAAGAAAACTTGATACCATTCAGGAAATTTACTCAATGGAAACTGGCCTTTTTAAAGTCAAACACAGAAATCAAAATCAAAATCAAGATGCTGAAAAAGTAACCCGATTAATTAAATATAGAATTACTGGAAGTGAGAATGAAGATATGTAATTTGTTCTATGAAATGTGGCGGCATGGCTGTTGTACTCTTGACTTTGGTCCAGACTGAAATATCTCAAAGAACCACTGTATGGATGGCCTTGAAATTTTGTACATGGTCCCCAGAGGATGAGGCCTACTGAGTGTGACTCTGACGTTTCCTCTAGCACCACCTGGAGGCCATTTGGGGTTAAGATTGAAATATATGAACATCTGGTGGGTGGATTGCCATGGAATTTGACAACAATATTAAAAGTCCAATGAGAGTTAATCCTTATAACTTTGTTGATTCCCTGAATTTTTATGGAGCACAACCAGTAACTAATCCAGTGAAATATTCCCAAATCTATCTGCCCTGACCTTCCCTGTAGTCACCAGCAGGCTGATGTGTGTTTTCAAGGGAAATGTAAAGAAAGAAAGAAAGAAAGAAAGAAAGAAAGAAAGAGAAAAAGAGCAAAAAGAGCAAAAAAAGTAAATAGCACAAGTCAGCTGAGCTACTGTAATACCACAGAGACCCCCAGGCTCCCCAGGGCTGAGCCCGGCACCCCTCCCCTACCTTGCATCCGCTGGCGGAGATCACTCGAAGGTCAGCTGGGATGCGGTCTCCCCCTTTGATCTCCACCAGATCTCCCTGCACCACAAGCTCAGCATTGATATGCATCTTCTCCCCCTCCCGGATCACCAACGCTTGCTGGCATGGACAAAAAGGAAGAAACAGACGAGAAGGAAGAGGGAGTATGAGGAAGGGAGAGAGAGTTTGGGAACAGAGAGAGGATTTAGTCAGAGGAAGAGAGAGAAGTGCGATTAAAAAAATGTGTAGCCAGAGGGTGTAGAGGTATGTTAAAGGGAGAGATAGAGACAGGAAAAGGAAAAAGAGAGAGAAGACAGGTACGGGAAAAGAAAAAGAGACAAGAAGGGAGTGAAAACAGCCTAAATAGATTAAAGAATTAGGCAATCGAAGTGCTAGAGGTGGATAACGCGAGGGGGGAGTTTTTATGCAAACACACTCACAATCCAAAGTTGGCTCAACATTTATTCTTCCTTTGTGCAAGCTTATTAGGTTTCCACTCAAGTAAGTGTGTAAGCCCTACTTGAGGGACAGCTTATTGATTCAGAAAGCTCTGAGACTACACCAAACACTAACATACATCAACTTACCTGTGGCACCATTTTCTTGAAGGAGTCCATGATTCGGGAGCTCTTGGCCTCTTGGAAGTAGGAGAAGCAACCTGTGATGATGACCACGGCTGACAGCACCACGCCCAGATACAACTGAAAGGAGGGCAAACCCAAGCCACAGAGGGGAGTCAGCACCATTATCAACTTAGTTTGGTTCATGTCAGGCATGTTAAAGCGTAGGAAAAGGGGATTTACAGACCTCAAAATGATTTTAAAAGAGTTAAACCTTGAATGCAGAGTGCAAGACAAGAGTTAAGAGCAAAGAAAACCCGGGGAAGCTCTCGGTCTCTGTGGAAGATTTAAAAGGAAAAGTCGTCCTACAGTTGAATTCTCGTGTACTATTCCTGTCATCTTGGACTGTTCATTCAATGTTAGTCCAAGTGAGCATCTGTCTCTCAAACCCAGAAAACCAAGAACTGACGCTCTGATCTGCAAGGCCACCAAGAGACACTTTCTGAACTGGCGCCAGGGCTTTGTAGACTTATGGTTGTAAGCAAGGAACATTTATTCTGGCGTATTTTACTTTATTTTCTGTCAATATTTTCACTTTTACTAGTGAAAAAGCTGTTACGGGTTGAGCTCTCACTGATGCAAACAAGACAGCCAGGCACTCTGGATGAAAGCATCTGCCAGCTGGTGTACTGTATGTCCTGGACTCCTGGAAAACAAAATTCCTAAACCCTGAAAAGTTTCTTTTTGGAAGTTGCTGCTTTCATTTGACAGCGAAAACAGAATGTTTTGCTTTTTTACACTTGAATGCCTTTTTTTTACTGTAGCGGTGCGAAATCTTCTGAACCAGGAAATACATCTGTATCCCCAGAAAATCACTTGTCAGTGTTTACAACATTTCCCTCCAATTCAGTGTTCAGTTTGCAGCTCCTGGTTTTGTCTACACACATTTGTTGTTGTTTTTTTTTGCAGATTTAAGCTCAGCTCTTCTCACTTCGGGAGACATTTGCTCTTGTTCATTGGTTGTAGAGAACTATAGGAACAACATCTGCACGGGCAGGTGTCACATTTGAATCTACCAAAGTTTAAAGGATTGAGACAATAAATGCTTAATTTCCAGATTGCAAACATTCATTTTAAAATATGGCAGTAAATTGTGTTAGTTCAGCAGCACTTTCAGAGACCTGGAAATGCTAAAACATTTTCTAAACCCGTAGAAGACAAAGGAATCTTTCAGCTCGAACACATGAAAATAATGAAAATTAGGTTTTAATCCGACAACAGCAATGTGTAAAGTTCTGTTATGGTGGATTTTCATCTTAAATGACTGCTTGTACATTATGCAAAGGCTCAAAGTGCCAAAGCTGCAGGCAGTCTGGGCTTTGAAGTAGCTCACCAGAGCATCCAGCTGTACATACTGGTTACTGAATGTAGAGATTAAATCGTGGGGAGATTAAAGTTATCACGTGTGTGCATGTGCATGTGTTTATCTACTGTATGTTACTGTATATTATGCAAGGGCTTAATGCTGTCTGGGGTTTGGAGAGTGCTGAATGATGATTGCATAATGACTCAGAGCCATAAAGTGCAGTATGGATGACTGCTTGGCTCCATTTGATCAGCGGTTGGTCTGAGTATTTATCCATGCTAATTCCAGGAATGATGCCAGTGTCAGCGGTTGTTTTTACGTCACACTCTATAAGGGGTGGGTGGGTGGGGATTCATTGTGTGGTTCTTCTTTAATAATGAGGACCAAATCCTGGCGTGTTTTAATGGGTTTTAAATGCTTTTTATGTTTTTACTTCCTATTTTAATGGCCTTAAGGTTTCCTCCTTTTCCCTTTCCCTCATCATTCTTTATACTATTTCCTTTAATGGATGCTGGCTCTGTGCTGGTTCATGTGACCTAATTGTGTTGCCATTTTGGCCAGGACTCTCGGAAAGGAGATTTAGATCTCAAGACACCACCCTGGTTCAGTAAAGGTCATATTATAAAAAATAAAAAGGGCAAGTAAAATCCACCAAAATGAAGTATTGTGACACTTGACTGGTTTGTGGTTTAAAGTTAAGATTAGAGTTAGGATTTGGTTTCAATTAGGAAATGCGTACATATAGTAAATGTATCTGTGTGTGTATATTTATACCTGTAAGGCTTTCAAATAACTTCTATAACCCTTTCTTGATGTCAAGTGGAATTATGACAGATGATTATATTGAGATATAATTAGACAAAAACGTTGTCCACGTTAATGACAGAACTTATAGTTAAAAACAAATGAGTCATTTAAGAATTGCTTAAGTTACAGAAGAAGAATTCTTAGAAGAAATTCTTACACAGTCCGGCCCAATATTACACCGGCTTACAGGCATTATACATCCTAATTAAGGTTCCATTCCATTTAGTGTAGCAGAGGCTTTCTAGTGAGCCAACATGCACAATGGCAGCAGCCTGACTCTGTTTGACCTGAAGGAACACGACCATAATTAGTGTCATTGGTGTTTACCACACTATTTCATATGAAAGTGGCTTCTGTGAAAAAGGTCTGTTATATTAATTATAATTTAATTCAGAAATGTCCACATATGCACACAAAATGTGAAAGGATACAGATTTTTAAAAAAAGATAAAGTAAAAGATAAAGTCACCACGTCGAGTATTATTTGTACTCGTCACCCCTTCAGTGTATATTTGCATCTAAAACGGACAGTGCAATGTATTCTTATACATAGCAAGAAAGAAACCTACATTTTTCTAAAGGTGCTCCTTCAGAGGAAGATTGCTTTGGAGAAATTGACAAACAACTTATAGATGGGAATGTCAAGAGATGAATCAAGATATGCCAACAGATCATAAAAGTGGGCCCCTCCGGGCTGCACATCCTTCTGCCTAACTAACAGCCCTGGGACCGACTGCGGCCGACTTCAGTGACTTAAATCAGCGACTTGATTCAGAGCCTCGATAAAAATGCGACACAAGTGAAGTGTTTTGTTTGATGTAATGCAGAACATTACAACAGAGTGCATTGCATTTACACACTGATCATTTTATGTGTGAGTTTGCATGCATATCGCATATAATTTATATTTCAATGTTGAAAATACATTATTATTAATATTGTGATACTAGACAACTACAACAAGGACAAATTGTAAGCAACATTTTTACCACTTATGTTTAGAGTTAACATTAAAATTTGAATTGAGTTAAGGGTGTGCATATGTGCTGTATGTGAGTCTGTACAATGTGGGTTTATTTGTCTGCTTGCATATGTATTTATGTAAACGTGCAGCTTGAAAATACAGATGAATATATAGTAGATGCATACAGGTAGAATTGTATGTGTTTGCATGTATATACCCCTGTTTACATCTTTATTTAAGTCTACTGTACCTGAATTATAACTGTAGCTGTCTTTGCATACCTGCATGTCTGTGTGTGTGTGATTAATATGGAAGGTGTGTTCTAGTACGTATGCGTGCATGTTTTACAGGCAGTTTCTCACATTGTCATTGGGTGCCTCGTCCTCCGTGGCCACCTGGATGCTGTAGGCCAGGAAACAGAGGATGGCACCAATCCAGAGCAGGATGGAGAAGCCGCCGAACAGCTGACGACAGAACTTGACCCACTCAGGGGTGGTGGGGGGAGGGGTTAGGGCGTTTGGACCATCCCTGGCCAGAATCTCCACAGCTCTGGCGCTGGTCAGACCCTGAGGGAGAGCAATTTTTAGGAATGAATGTCTTTCTGCATGCGTTAGGAATCTTATTACAACACAATGGCCCCATTTTCACCGGTGGCTTAAAAAGTAATTTTACTGCTATAGTTGCAGAACATCAAGTATTCCTGCCTGGCCTATTTAACACGACAAGTATAATAAACTGGGTGACTCTTCTCATCTAAGGTTTTATGCCATTGAACTGTTGGATGTAACTTTATTGAACTTTTTTTTTATTTATTTATTTTTTACAGATTTTATGCCTAATAGTGTCAAAATATGATTTGCAGAAAATCCATGTAAACACCTAAATTCTATAATTTAATTATAATTTTCTCTTTCAAGCTTTAGCAGGTTTTTGACATTTTTACAGCTTGTGATATTTTTTTGAGCAGCCCAGCTTGTATTTCTCAAATACTAATCTTAAAAAGATAAAAATCTGTTTCACTACACCTGCAATGTCAACCTTTAGGTAAGCAGCAAATGTGGTTACAGCGTAAAGACCTTTGTGATGTGTTTGTATTGGCTTGTTTATGGGATTGTCGGAGTTGTTGCATCAAAGTTTGTGCGCTTGTGTGTGTGTGTGCATGTGATTGAGGGATTAAAGATGAATGAGGCTCAAGGTGAGCTGGGGACACTGCGGTGGATCTAACTTGACCAAAGCAATGCGTGGTCTCACTTTGGATGTTGCTTTCCAGTACAGGCAACCAGAGATTACACCCTCTAGAGGAGATATTACAGGAATTCTCTTTGTTGTTGTGTGCAAGTGTGCAAGTGTGAATGACAGCCTTTGTGTTTGTGTGTCATTACCCGTGCGAGGTCCACTCCATAGCGTTTTCCCAGATCATCCAGACTTATTTTGTGGTCGTCCTGCAGGGATAAAATATTCCTTTTTCATTTGTGCTTCAGTGGAACAGAAACAGTAACCAGAATCAGAGTGATTTTAATTGGCCAGTGTCTTTTGATATATTATTTTACAGCAATACATTCAACGTTCTACTACTCAAGCAGTATGGTGCAGATGTAATGGGAAGTATAATAACTGCCCAGGGAATTGGTCAAATATATTGTTAAGGCGTAGCACTGATGCATTCCACACCTTCATCTTCCTGAAAAAAAGACTTTATCCTCTGCATCTGACAAGAATTCAGGGGCTTTATATATGTATGATTTATTCCTCAAGACAGATCAAACAGGTCAAAGAGTGATGTCCACTCCTCCTGAATCTACAAGTAGGGCTGAACTAGAGGTGAGCACACTGTCTGTTCTCCAGTGGCAAAAATGTGACCCATTCAAAACTTTAGGTTTGCTGTACACAAAAAGAAACCACCCTGAAACACTTTTTTAAGAGTTCAGCATTGAATGTTGTGTGTATGGGTTCATTTTGTCATTTCGTGTGGCATATTTGTGTTATCATTCCTATGCAACTTGCCAAATGTCACCTTGAGATATTTCCACTGTAGCTAAAATGGAGTTTGGTACTGTAGCAACAAAAAATTCAGCAAGCAGCAGCTGTCAGGATGGTGTCATTTCCACAGAATGAAGGGCTACCCGTTTCCCTCAACAACAAGACAGGCAGAAATCCACCAATTTCCTCACCAACAGAAGCCTCAGAGGGCCACAATGAAATGTAGCTGCGAGTGATTTGGCCACAATCACCGACATACCCCAGTGTTCACAAAACAGTTTGCAAGTTAGACTTTATTTATATGCTCCTACACCCAATATTGATCAGCCATTGTCTGGTGGTTGTTTATAGGATTTTTGGGACAAAAAATGTAGGAAATCACTAGCTGGAGAAGCACATGAGGCAGACTGATGAAAGTAAAATACAGCACTTAATCAAAAACTAGTCCTAAGTGTTGACGGTATCCAAGGAATTCTTCTCTTTAATAAGTCACAGGCCAACTTGATAATTGACAAGAGCTGCTTTATCAGAGATACTGCACGCAGCAAAACTTACCCCAGTTTTCATGGGCATCGCTTGGCTGGGTTTTGACAGCACCTCAAAGAGCTACAGCTCTGCACAAGACAAAAAACTCTGCACTACACTGTTGGTGGCCCACAAATTATTCAGTATATTTCTGAGAACAAAGAAGAGCCGCCACAGGGTGGTAGAACAGATAGGAGGGGACAGGCTGGCATAGAACTCATATACAACCGACTACACTAAGCAGGTTGGATTGCCATTTTGTTTACAGGCCACTGTTTTCATTTACAGCCTTGTTAAATAACCTTTGTGTCTTTGGCGTAACGTTATTTGGGCATCGTTTGGGAGCAGCAGCGATGGAATCAATCACTGTGCAGAGTGAGTGTGGGTTGGAGCAGTGACAGCTTGTTTTCCTTACCAAGGACACCTCCTTCTTCAGCTCATCCAAGTCCCTCTCCTTCTTCTTCCTCTTCCCTTCATTTTCGGCACCACACTGTAGGGAAAGAGAGGGAGAGATAACCATACATCAGGCCCGCAGGCTGTCGTCCCAAACCTCCACAGGAAGGAAGTGGGAAAAGTCACATGCTTGCAGCCACATTGTACCTAGCCATTTACATTCCGAGCCACGTATTACAACATCAGTGTGAGCACAATGGATTTGTGTATGCTGGTTCATTTCAATCTCACGGCAGTATTGGCAAACCATTCACTGAATATGGAGGAGAAAATATTTTTTCCTCACAATGCAAGTTCCTCATTTGTGCGAGTGTGAGAGTGTGTGTGTCATGAACAGTTGGAAGAATGGTGCATCATGGAAATCATCTGCCGCTGTCAGTCTCCTCTTAGCAGCACATGTGCATGTCAGTGAAGGAGGGATACACGGGGAGAATGAGAGGAGAGCGTGAGCAAGTGACACAGTGAAAAAGTAATCAAAAAGAGCCAAAGAGGGAGCACAGAGCCGGTGGAGTGCCTGAAATGTGTCTGGCATAGCAATTTCCCCCTACTGTGTGTGAGGAAGATTACCAGCCTGTCCTCCCATAAAGCTAAATGGAATGGGCCTGATGGAGAGAATAAAAACAAAATTACGTAATTATCCAAGTAAACAGCAAGCCGGGAAGAAACTTATTGAGGAGAAAAGCAATCATCCTAAGATGTTACTGTCTTTGAAAGGCATTCTGACGCTCAGAGACATCAAGTCCTGCAGACGCATTTAGAAATCTCAGTATTTTTCCATGATGCATGTCCAAGCCATATGCTGTTACTGTACACAAGCTACAGTAGGATTACAGAACGTCGCAGTCATGTTCATTCATTCAGTTATGACAGGAAGGCCTCACAGAGATAAGAAGAACAATTTCTGTAAGGTTTTTTAAAAAATGAGGAGAACTTACCCCTTTCCCCATGCTGGACGTCCAGACGTCGGCAGGTTATAATGTGAAGGACAGTTTTCAGGGGCCTCGCCACAGCTGAAACCTCCCGCCCCCACTTGTGGAGTACACTGGTGGCTTTTTTTGGGCCTGGCACCCCCACACCAAACATCCCGTTCCCTCTCTTCTTGCTCCCTCCTGTCAGGAGTAACCTGAGCCATATAACCCCCCACCCACACACACACACACATACACATGCACACATACACCATCTCTCCCCACAATTCCACCACCCCTCCCAACAAAACACATTCTCACACACAGGGGGGTTTCTGTGTGTGTACTTGCACCTGCTCAATGTGTCCCCCCCCCCGCACAACACACGCACACAGGGCTCCATGGAAAACAACAGCCCATCAATCATCGCTGTCAACACAACAAATGAAACCTTGAACGCTGCATAACATACAGTACAAACGAGATATTGAGGGACCGAAAATTAGCCCCAAAAAGGAAGCAGTGTATTCAGCTGTTTTTCACAATTTGTTAATTGATTCTTAAAGATTAACATTTTTATTTACATGTATTTATTGATATATATATATATATATATATGTATATTTTCTGCTTTAAATTCTAAATGAATCGTAGCCAGAAGCTACAGCGCTGCAATTAGCTTTAAGTCCAACATATTTACAACATAAGGCGGGTCATCACCAGTGCGCCTACACAACAGATGCAGCGAATGATCCCGTGTCAGAGAAGTACCAAATGTCTTGTCACTATTGCCAGTCTGTTGATTTTACATTCTGAGCCTTCCTACATTGCAATGCTTCTACTCCTGAGCTGTATGCTTTGATGTACGCATGAGCCACTGTAGTGTGCTGCTTTTCAAGGTTTCTTTCCATTTTCCAAGGATGTTTGCTTTGCTCTTGTCTGTACAGTTCAGCCTGTCCTTGTTAAAAAAAATAAAACATATGATCTCTTTATGAATGTTTTTTTTTTTTTTTTTTATTGACATTGAGTGAAACTATAAGATAAGCCATACAAGTTCAATAGGTTTACCAGAACAGTTGAATTTAAACCTGAAACTAAAGAGGTTTTGCAAGCGCCGTAGTTTTTCCTTTGTGCTTCCGAGTGGAGGGTGAAGCGAGGGGGCTGAAACTACACCACTAGATGCCACTAAATCCTACACGCTGGACCTATAGCCACCATGTATAGGTGGGACAGAAAGCCATTCAAGATTTTGGAAGATGCTTGTTTGAAGAGTTAGATGAGAAGATTATATCGACCTGTGCTCAGCCTAGCTTGGCGCTTAGAAAGATTGGAAGCAGCGGGAAACAGCTGGTCTGGCTCTATCCAAAGTTTAAAAATAGTCTTCTGTTGCCTATATAGCTCACTAATTGACACTTCTCTCTCGTGTTTAATTCGTGAAACAGAAATGGTAACAATGGTAATTAGTGGTATATGCAGTCGCCCATCTCGTAGTGATAATGACACTGAGAAATCACTTCACCCTCCATCTGTTCGTCAAGAACACAATTTACCCACAAATTACCATTTTTACATATCTGTTTGTGTACAAAATTAAATAACATGTTAATTAGTGAGATTTAGAAGTGTTGCTAGGCATATATAATTCAGAAGAGAGGCAGGCTAGCAGTTTCCCACTGCTTCCGGTCTATAGACTCAGACGTGACAGTGGTGTCAATCTTCTCATCTAAGGTTAGGCTTATCTGTAAGTCTCTTTTAAAAAAGGTGCCACAATGAAATGAACTCTGCACATAGTAACTTTGAGTAGAGTTTAAACAATTCTGTCTTCGGTGACTCCGAGTGGTAGCACCAAAACAGACGCTCATACAGAAATGCACGCCTGCACACCATCACCCCTCAGCCAGGCATTCAGGTGCTGTAGCTGCGCAGGTCAGCGGGCATCAGTCTAAAGACTGTGGTTGTACTGTGTGTGTTTAACTGCCTGAATATGAAGCAGAGCATTTCTGAAAAGGTTATGTATGCTCACTGAACCCAGCCTGCAAGTTAAGTCAGAAAAAATTAAGCCTTTCTGAAAATAATATCTCATTTTGTCACTCTGTAAATGTGAAAAGGTTGTAAACGGTCACCGAGCATTTATTTTCAGTTCATCATTATTAATTTTCGGTAGTTGGGTAACAGAGGGCAGGATGAGGTGAAACCATTTTAGTCCTCACCTTCTGCCATGAAGCAGTTTAAAAGTTTAATTCCAAAACCAAATTATTTTTTAAAAGAAAAACACCTGATGGTCATTGTTCAGCATTTAAAACCTGCAGATTACGTCCTGTAAAAATGTTCTTGTTGTGTATGCAAACGTCTTTAGATAACTAATAGGCTACGGCTGGTCCTATTCCTTCATGAGTCTTACTTTCATGCCAGCCATTAGAGTATTGAAATATTTCAAAAACGGTGGATATCTCATTTTGGAAGGACTTTCTTCCTTTGAAAAGTTCATGAAAGTAAATACTGGCAGAGACATTCGTGACAGATTTAAACAATGCTTGGGACTTGGAACTGAAATAAAGAAGACTGTAGACATTTTCAGCTGGGTTTACTTTGTCTTCTGTTGACGACAGCTGCGCTTGGGGCTTTTATTTTTATTTACGTTCTCTTTACAACATATTATACAGAGTCATCAAAAGTTGTTAGTGCTCTTGAATTATAACAAGCATTAAAATAAATGAAAAAAAAATGTAAGAAGCTCCAGTCATTTCAAATAAAGGAAGGTTATTGTGCAACTATGACTAATACAGTTCATAATACATATAAAACATCTTTTTAAAGGCATTTTAATGCTGTCTGTCTTATGTCAGGTGTCTGTGTGGCTTTGCGGAAAAACAAGAAAACATTCTAACTGATCCATTTGACTGGATAGTTAAACAGCGACTAGTGAAACAGATCTCCAGTTATAAAGATGTGGATTTTAGCACCTCCATTCCAGTTATGAATTTTAAAGGAACATTCAAGTCTACTATCCACCCTGCATATCAAGCACGCAGATCGCAATCCATCTTTGGCTCAGGGTTGGGGAAGGAGCACCTTTAAAAGAAAGCTCTGGGGGAAGAGCAGGCTCTATCTGTAGTGATACATATGGATTTTTGGCTTGGCTTAACACGCCAGATAAGTCTCTTCCTCCAAAGCTTTCTCCCACAGCAAGCACCTTCCTCCCCTTTTTTTTCTCCCCAGCCACATCTCACTGAATCTGAGGCTAACCGAACCCTTATCCTCCCCTCATCTCTCCGACACCGCACGACAACCTCGATTTCCCTTCGTCTCGGAATAAAATGTGCACCAAAGAGACAGCCACACAGTACCTTCAATAACACACAAGGTCAGAAATATAATGACATATTCCATCGAATATAATTACATTTCTTCCGTGCCTTGACAAACATGTTCTTACATGTTTACACATGTAAAAAATGTCTCAGAAAACATTATTTGCTTTACTTAGGGTGACATACTGTTGTTTTTTTTGCTTTATATCAAATCTAATTTTTAACAAGACACACATATACATAAAACACGCATCGTATTTGCGACCGGAAGAGAGCTAGCTAGATTATAAGTTTCTGTTTGGCGTCTCCAGTGAGAACTAAAGGCGGATTTCTGCCCATGTGTTTCCTCCCTTTGCCGGTGAGGGGCAGAGGAGAGCATTTTGGCATTTGAACCAGCAGAAAAAAAGACAGTAAGGGGTCGGAGGAAGGACGGAAGGCGGGCTGGCAGGGGACATGCCTTTGGGGGAGGCGGCGTTTTGAAGGGCAATTGAGAGGGCGTTTGTCGATCATTGGGCAAGACCGAAGGAGGGGAGAGAGATGTCCGTCACCGAGTTTGAAAAAGAGAAGAAGAAGGGCGAGGAGGAGGAGGAAGGACAGAAGAGAGAGGAAAAGAGGAGCAGAGCATTGAGCTGTAGGCCTGGCAGTCAGATAAGGAGAGGCTTAAAGAGTGGAGTGGATTGTGTATAGGCCTTTTCTGTGGGGGAATAATGCAGTGCAGAGTCACTAGACGACAAGAAGAGGAAGAGATAAAGGAAGCCAAAGAC